CAGGCAGCACAGCCCCCCCTCCTTTACCACCCCTACCCTTTACATGTCCACATGCAGACCGGCCTGGTGTAGCCTCAGCATGTGAGTGGGGGAGAGCATGCGGGCTGCGTTCTATATGGTTCTACTCTGTAACCAGAGGCACAAAATGGATTTAAAAAAAGAAAACAGGCTGGCATGAGCGCAGTTTGTTCAATGCTTTGAAAAGACGCTGCCTATGATGTGAGAGACAGTGGACACAGAATAGGGAGGATTGGCGTTATCTTTGGATAAAGGCCACCACGTCACTGTTTAAAAAAAATTTGTGTTTTGAATGTGAGAGAATAGCTGATTACTCACTGAGACCAAACTGTGAGGGAAAATGTCACAGAGGGAAAAAAACAGTTTACGTGGCTGTTTCAGCTGCAGCAGCAGGGCAGGCAGGCAGAGTTCAAAAGCATAGAATCCATGATGCATTGTGGGTAAATGTTGACTGACTGATTTACAAATAATAATGAGTAGTTATTTATGATGCAAAATTAGTTGTAGATCAGTCGTCAGTCGCCTGCACTGTCGGCTGCAATGTCGAACAAAAGCCCTTTGTCTTTGTAACCTTCCTGTGACGGGGATCCTATATTGTCAATTAATGAGAAAGTTGTTTAACATGAAAGAAATACTGTACGAAATGTAGACAGAGCGTTTCTTATAAAATACTATAGTGATGTAGATGAGGGTCAAGTATGCTGCAGTGGATGAAGGTAGAAACGCTTCAAATTAAATTAGACATACCATATAGACCAAAATCACAACACACAATGTACAAATTAGACAGTATCTGATCAAGCCTGCTGTGCTTTAGAGAAAACCTCAATATATCATTAGTTGTTGTTCTTCACAAATTTAAGTGAATTAACTTTCTTGAAGTGATCATACTTGTTTAACATTGTATTGTAACATCACAAATCTTGAAATGACATCAGCTGTGCTTAGGTTTTGGGAAAATGTGGAGTAGAGTACATATTGATTTGTTATCTGGGTGTTAACAATGTCTGATTGCATCATTGGTGAATGTTTTAGTGTCTAATGAGTGACTACAGTAATTTATCAGGGCGAAATCAGTGTCATTAAGATGAGATTCCAAAGTGTTTTAAACTATCACCCCGCAATTGCTCTTATGTGGTAGTATTTACAGATAATAGTTATAAGTTGTGACCATGTGATACAGAATGACACTCACAGCAAATGTAGATTCACTCTCAATTGTTATTTCTCAGCGTGTGGCATTTCATTGTATAAGATACACAAGAGGTACTGTAAAAGACCTACAACATGTATTTTCAGCACAGGCATGGCAGTAGGTGAGTTACCCTAACAGGCAATTGAATCTGAAGCACAATATAAATGTACGCAACCTTATTGTTAATTAGTTAACTATAGATGTAGCGGATGTATTTGTGATTCACCAATTCAGTATTGATGAAAGTCTAAATGTAAATGTAACTGTGCAGTAATCTGGTACTTTTCATATACCATAGCTTTGATTGTAAATTGTAATACAGTAATCTGTTGGGATTCTTTAGGTGGAATTAGTTTGTGTCTGAACTTGTTCTGGACCTACTAGAGAAACATCATGCAGTTTCATGATCTCTGTATACCCATTCATATTCAAATATTTGCTGAATTTGTATGGTCATTTTGATAATAAACCTCATTCACTTAAATAGCCTCCTCAGATTTCTTGCATTCAGCCTCCAGACAGTGATGCAGATACTCATTTCTCTGGAGTGAAAAGTGGCTGGTTGGTGCTGAACGTAATTATCATGGCTTTCCGACACGTGCAAAGCTGAGGTGACTTCAGCATTCCAGGGGAAGTAACACACTTTGTTTTTATAACAACCCAAATTGATAAATTTGCCTGCTTCCATCCAGAGACAACACTGCAGTGCAGTCTCTCTGGGAGTGCTGAAGCGCCATGCATCAGAGGAGCGCTAAATATTGTTGCTAGCTGGCAATCTGACTCACCTCTCCATTCTTCAGTGCATTAGCTAGATTGGTTGTCCATAGCCCAGCTAGCTGAGTCACCTCTATCACAAGGCTAACTGGCTGCTAACAAACCAACCATACCGCCACACTTTTCTACTCTCCTCCTAGCTTCCATACCCTATCCAACACCTAGGCTACTACTACTCCCCACTCTCTCTGAGGTAGAGCAGGCAACTCAGAGGGGAAAGTGGTGTGGTCAGGGGCGGGTGGGATTGACATCACTACAGAGATATGGCCCATGGTGCATCTTTATGACTCATCATGGCTCTTTGAAGGGGCAGCCAGAGATGACTCACCAAGCCAGGGATAGGTTTGAAACAGCCAGACAAGAGTGGCTTTAGTCAAATTTACAGGGCCTGGGGAAGAGTGGCAGCTCAGTTTGTGCCAAGCGTGTTGACTGGCAGAAAGTGCAAACCATGTCGTGAGGACTCAAATGATAACACATTGACAGCAAGGGGTTTAGGAAAACAAATATGAGGTACAGGAGAAAACGGCTAGAACACTTAGCTAGAGGAAGTGAGAATTCACAGTCCCATCTTTCCATGGGAAGTGACAGAACATGTAAATCATGGTTTTGTTTCTCTACATGATGACTAAAGTGAACATGTTTGTGTTTATAGAATGTGAATGAATAAAACCGAAATACCAGGGGTGCCAAGTTTGGAGAAAATCTATGTTGCTCCTTTATTTAAAAATCAAAATCAAAAACATTGTGTAGGAAAAAAAACAGTCACGCTTATTACACCTAGAATGTCATCATCATTTACTCAGAAATTACTAATCTGCTGCTAGAGGCAAGTCCAGTTACCATCTATTATATGAAGAGAGCACTTCCCAAAATATTGAGTAGGGATTTAGGCCTATCTTTTGGCCCAATTGAGGTCTTTTCAAACTCTATACCCACAAAGACAGTTTGCAGACATGAGAGTTACTGCTGGCTGGCGATTGACTAACCAAAACCTTGCTTAATGAATTGAGTTCCCAGAGTCCTATCTCCTTCTCTAGTGTGGCAACATGACTAGCAGTAGCATGGACCACCACATTACACATAAGGGGGAGGTCAGAGCCACTAAACCAGAGCGTAGTAGGGGAATAATTGGGTAAAGGAGCTGGGTGGATCCTGGGGGCATGGGGAGCATAGGGCTAAGTCATGGAACACTTACTGTATGACACACACGGAGCACCTTATGTTAGGAAGTGGAAGGAAAGGAGAAGAGAACCTGCCTGTCTGTAGCCATGCGGTCTGTTCCTTAGGCAGACCCGGCGCTCCGACCTTTGACCCAGCAAACAACCCTCTGATCAGTAATGCTCACAACAATAAAACAGAATATCTCTAAATCACATGTATTTGTACACAAAGGTGTGAATATTATTGGCTAAATGTATCTAAGATTTGTATACACAAATAAAGTCCTTTGTTCTTTAAAATTGCATGGGGAAAAAAATCTGTCCTTTGCTCTTTGTAGCTTTTCTGGTCGTCCAATTAGAGGGAAATCAGAGGGCAATTGATGCTCAGCCCAACAAAAGCCATCTCAAATTCAGCTGCCACATACAATAGATAAATATGCAAATATTTCACCATTATTATTAGCTAAGAAATAATTGCAAAGTGTATAACACAGTGGAAAAATATAAATATTTCTGTAGTAAAAAAAATGCTCTTCTCAGTATGAGGTGGAAGTAAGTGGTGGTTATGGGCGAACCTCTCCCAAAAAGTACCATGATTCACATTGGTGTTTGAAGGACAGTGCCCTGGAAGTTATAAATTAATGTGTGCATTTGATTTCGATTTGATCCATGAAAGTATGTTCCGTCCAACAGAAATAGAACAATGGTTCCAATCCTTATACAATAGCTTTGCATTTCTCCTTTCCAATTACCCACTCTCTTTCACGTCACTACCACACTAGACATCAAATCAACCCTAACAACCACACGCTAAAGGATGAGGACACGGCCAATCCTCTATAAAACTATTGTATGTGCAAATATACAAACTCTACAGAACTGATAGGGATTAGGGGGACTATAGCGTTAAAAACATTCAGTGGCCCAGGATTTAACTAAGGAGCTACGTCTGCCTCTGATTCAATGGCGGAACAGTCTACTGTAGGCATGCAGCATTTTATAACTAGACATAATTAATGATGTCACCACCTCAACTAATTAGAATCAATCATTTCCCACGGGAAAATAAAGTCTTCAACTAAAACCCACAGAATCAGCTTGCCTCTATGACCTAGCCTGGATGCCTGAAAGGGGAAATGAATGCGGTGAATGAGCACATCAGAGTTGACCTGTGAGAAGGGTGAGGATTTGGAAGGATGAAGAATAGTGGCCGGGTTAGCGTCAATCAGACAACCCAACACAGAAGGGGTCATGTGGAAGAGGGTCATTTAGGGAAAGATATACTGTACTGTTCAGACAGGACACAAACAGAGAGAGAAGTAGAGGGAGCATCACTGTCTGTCACCCACATGTAAAGAAAAACAGACCGTACAGTCTACTTGAGATATAACATGAGCACCGGTTTTTGGCATATCTGAACCTTTGTTATTGTATGACCAGGAAGAAGGGAGAATGCAGGGGCAAGAAGAAAGATGGCAGAGGAAAAGAGGATGAGAAGGAGAGGAGTTAGGAGTTGATAGAAGAGGAGGAGTAAGAGGAGTCTTTAAGGCCCAGGAGAGCAGTAAGTTAGACGGAGTTGAGTTTGATCAGGTCCATGTTGATGAGTAGCACTGAAGACCAGGGAGGGAGGTTCCTTGGCAAGATTATCAGGAGCACCACTGCCAGTAGAGTCGTAAACAGTCTCCTACACAAAGCAAAATTATGCAAAAATCATAAAAAAAGAAATCCCTGAAGTATTAATTTAGTCAATTGAACAGAGTCCAGTCTCAGTGTCACGCCTGGTGGGTAAGGTAGATGGTGGTTGGTTGGGGTTAGAAAGCCCAGTTTGAGGTGGTTTGAGGGGGCTGTGTGTGTCAGTGGTTCCAGCCCATGAGGTGGCTGACCCGGGCCTTTTCGGTCATGCGGCGTACCCGTCCTGAGCGGGACATGCCTAGGTTGAGGGGGTCCTCTGTGGTCCCCGACTCTTCGTCTGACTCGTCGTTGTACAACACTGTCCTGCGGCCCTGGTTCCGGGTGTTCACCTGACCAGATTTACTGCGGCTGCTGCTTTTCTGACCGCCCTCCGCCCCACCCTCACCCTGCTCAGAGTCGTCCTCCTCCGATTCCTCCTTTTCCTCAGGCTCCTCTTCCTCCTCAGGCTCCTCCTCGTCATCATCCTCCTCCCCTCCCTCCTCTCGCTGCTGTTGCGGCTGTGGCTCCTCCTCTTCTTCCTCCTCCTCCTCTTCATCTTGTTCATCTTCTTCATCCTCCTCTTCCTCATCCTCTGCCTGGACTCGTGCTCTCTTGGCTTTCTCTGGAGCCTCCTCCTCCTCTTCCTCTTCTTCTTTCCGCCTCCTCTTCCCAGAAACGGCCATCTTGCCCTTGGCTTTGTGGCGGGTCTTTAAGCGGGGAGCTTTGCTGTAGTCGTGATCTCCCCCCTCCACAAACTTCCCAACCTCCGACTCACTGTCCGACTCACTGTCTGATGAGGAGGAGGACGATGATGAGGAAGACGATGATGAAGAGGAGGAGCTGTTGGATCCTCCAGACTCCTCCCCCTCCTGCAGCACTCGTCGCCGGTGGCTCTGTCTGGCACCGTTGGTGAGAGGTCTGTTACGCTCTGGAGAGACACACACACAGTCTCCCTGTTAAACATAGCACAGCAACAGCTACCAAGTAGGCTTACATGGTAAGCCTTTCTATTTTTTTATTGTACTTTTTTTTAGCCCTTTTTCCTCCCCGATTTCGTGGTATCCAATTGATAGTTACAGTTTTGTCCCATCGCTGCAACTCCCGTACGGACTCAGGAGCCGAAGGTCGAGAGCCGTGCGTCCTCCGAAACACAACCCAGCCGAGCCGCACTGCTTCTTGACACAATGCCCGCTTAACCCGGAAGCCAGCCGTACCAATGTGTCGGAGGAAACACTGTCAGCGTGCACTGCGTCCGGCCCGCCACAGGAGTCGCTAGTGCGCGATGGGACAAGAATACTCCTGCCGGCCAAACCCTCCCCTAACCTGGACGAAGCTGGGCCAATTGTGCGCCACCCCATGGGTCTCCCGGACGGAGCCGGCTGTGACAGAGCCTGGAATCTAACCAGGATCTCTAGTGGCACAGCTAGCGATGAGGTGCCTTAGACCACTGCACCACTCAGGAGGCCCCCATGATAACCCTTTCTGATTGTGTGATTTTGGCAGCATTGAAAAACATATAAATGATGCCATTAACTGCTGCGATTTAACCAGGCTGACTTCAAACATTCAAGTAGTTGGGAAAATCATACATTTGTCTAGATAGCTTGGTGAAACACCTCTATGAAGGACTATTTAGCCACTGCCTGTTGGTGTTGGTTACCCTGTGTAGTAATACCAGAGTTCTTGACGGGTGTGGTCCGGCTGCGGGTGACACGGTCGGCCCCTGGGTCCCCACTGTGGCTGCCTGTCCCGGAGCTGGAGGAGGACGAGGGCTGGCTGTCCTCATCCACCACCACGCTGCTTGACTCCGACGCTGCAACAGCAGCACCTCACGTTACCACCCTACCTCCCATCGCATCAAGCATTTCACACCTCTAACACATACAGCCACACAGACACAAACATACACGACAAGACTGTTACCTTGAGATGGCCTGCGAGATCGGCTCTTGGATGAGGTCTGGGATTTTTTGGGTGTTGCTTTCTTCCCTGACTTGTGCTTCCCTTTAGGACTAGAGATAAGACACCAAGACAGATTGTTTGAGGTGGAATCTAAATAGATCCTACAAGGAGTGGTACATAACAGGTGGGTTTATTACAGTGGTAAGGGTTAAAGTTAGAGTTGTAGAGAGGGGTTCCAGCCAGGCCAGTACCTGGAGGGTCGGCTGGTGGGAGGGGAGCTGCCTCCACTGTTCAGCCTCTTCCGGTAGCTGACACTCTGGCGACTCCTCCTCCGCTGGTTCTGGACTGCAGACTTGTAGTCGGAGATGATGGAGATGATTTGTCTTTCAAAGAAGGCTGATAGGCTCAGGGTCATGGTGTAGATCTGGAGATGAAACAATGAAGATCAAAAGACCATTCTCTCACAGAACACAAGGGTCAGGGGTTATAAACCGTTGAGATAAGACCCACCGCATTTCTTTCCCCCCCTTGAATCTTGGAAAGAAGTGGAGAGTGCTCAACCCAAAAACTTGATAGTTGAAAATCTTGTCAGAATGGGTACACTAACCTGTGACTTCTTGTTGGGTGTGTATGCTTTGGAGTTGCTGAATATGAGGCGGACATCTTTGGCAAACTCCATGGGGTTCTCGTAGTTTCCGACGACCAGCGCCTCTGTAACAGTACCCAGGTCCATGGGAGTGTCTATGATGTCTCGATAGTCCTGGGAGAGGAGGGAGAGAGTGCTGTGTTTAGGACGTCAGAAACCCCTTAACTGAGAATTGAGGACAGATAGTTTGTAATAATTCTGAACCACTACAGTCAGACTAATAAGACTATCAGCTTCTCTGATTGAAATGACACATAATAGGCTGATTTCCCAGACACAGATTAAGCCTAATCCTAAAATATTTTCAAAGAATCGGCATTGCTTTTTAGTCCAGGAGCAGGTTCTCTTGTTACGGGACTAAATGGGCCATAACCTTTAACATGTCACTGTGGGGGAACATGTCAGATTGTAAAGCACTCAGATCCTAAGGCACTTATCCTGTAGGGGGATGTTATCATCTCTCTCTGTGAGTGGTAGTGATAATGATAACAAGCCTTACTGGGTAGGTGAAGAGGTCCACAGGCTGTCTGAAGGGCTCAGAGTCAGGGCCGTCCATCATACGCCGCAGCAGCTCCCGACACTGGCCCCGCCACGCACGCACATCTAACACAACCCCACGCTTCTTAGGACTGGGATTGGCCCGCTGAAAGTGGGAGAGAGGGAAGGTTTCCAGTTAGGTAAAAAAATAAAAAAACAGGAGGTAGAAAGAGACAATGGGGAACAGGAATCACAGTCATAACAACAACAACGCATATTCCATGTTTGATACTAAACACTCCCTTACCCGTTGTCCTGTGGATGTCCCAGGAGTGTCAGAGTCCACGTCCACCTCAGCAGTCTACACACCAACACAGAGACACAAACTCTTAGTACAGTTTAATAGACCACCAAGACAATTTAAATACATGTATTTCTCCATGTCTCACCTCATCCTCTCCACTGCTCATCTCAGTCTTCACCTTGTGGTACAGATCCAAGATGTCTGTGCAGCTCTGGTCCCTGACAAAACCACACAACTCGTCAAATTTACAGTCAAAACCAAGTTCTTTACGAGTCACCATTTCACATTGGGGAAATCTACACCATTCATTTTAACATCTGCTAAATGGCATATTATTATTATTATTATTATTAACATGATCTCAGGGGCGCCTTACCCAATGTAGCGGAGGAGCACGTCGGTCACCACCTTGGCTGCCGCCACGATGGGGCTCTGGGGCTCGTTGAAAGTGCGGGCGTTGTGCTCGATGTAGCGCACCTCCCACATCAGAGCCGAGATCCGCCTAGGAGAGAGGAACACCCGGAGGGGATAAGCTGAGTGAGAGTCACTGACCTCCCCAAACTGGCACATACCAAAGTCCCAACACAGAGGTACAATGGGGCAGAGCGGATTAATGGAATATTAGCGACAATTACAGTTGGTTTGAGGGATGACTACAGTGTGAGTGTGGTGGGGTGCAGGCTAAGAGGTCAGTACTGACCTGTAGAAGCGGTTCTCCAGCCGTCTGCGGATGGTATTGAGGTCAGTGGGGTAGGCCACCACAGTGCAGTAGAGGGGGTAGTCCCGCAGGTCCACAGGTGACGCAAAAGCCTTGGCCAGGTCTACATACAAAACACATCACACTCATCAGTCAATACCAATCCATATGCAAATTCACTTCCAGTTACAATCTATTTAATGCAGAATTCCTAGCATGAAAACTATTCCTGTGTGGTAGCAGTGACCTACCCAGCGTAAGCAGCTCGTCGATGCCAAAGATGACCCTCTGACAGTCCTCGTCCCGTGTGTGAGCCCCCCACTCCCCCTCCTGGGGGCTGTAGAGGCGAGCCTTCACCTCCTCCTCTGTCACCGCCACCCCGTCACCAACCTCCTCTGGCAGCTCCGCTGGGAGGGAACACAACACGCCAGTCAGAGACAACATCAGCTCATTGGTTGGCTGCTCAGTCTCACTATCAATAACCGGATCTAGATGGGATATGCTTAACACCCTGGCCATCCTACAATCTAAACTAGATGCCCTCAATCTCACACAAATTATCAAGGAACCTACCAGGTACAACCCTAAATCCGTAAACATGGGCACCCTCATAGATATCATCCTGACTAATATACCCTCTAAATACACCTCCGCTGTCTTCAACCAGGATCTCAGCGATCACTGCCTCATTGCCTGCGTCCATAATGGGTCCGCGGTCAAACGACCACCCCTCATCACTGTCAAACGCTCCCTAAAACACTTCAGCGAGCAGGCCTTTCTAATTGACCTGGCCCGGGTATCCTGGATGGATATTGACCTCATTCCGTCAGTAGAGGATGCCTGGATGTTCTTCAAAAGTGCTTTCCTCTCCATCTTAAATAAGCATGCCCCATTCAAAAAATTCAGAACTAAGAACAGATATAGCCCCTGGTTCACCCCAGACTTGACTGCCCTTGACCAGCACAAAAACATCCTGTGGCGTACTGCATTAGCTTCGAACAGCCCCAGCCATATGCAACTTTTCAGGGAAGTCAGGAACCAATATACACAATCAGTTAGGAAAGCAAAGGCTAGCTTTTTCAAACAGAAATTTGCATCCTGTAGCACTAACTCCAAAAAGTTTTGGGACACTGTAAAGTCCATGGAGAATAAGAGCACCTCCTCCCAGCTACCCACTGCACTAAGGTTAGGAAACACTGTCACCACCAATAAATCTATGATAATCGAGAATTTCAATAAGCATTTTGCTACGGCTGGCCATGCTTTCCACCTGGCTATCCCTAACCCGGCTACCAGCTCTGCACCCTCCGCTGCAACTTGCCCGTGCCCCCCCCCGCTTCTCCTTCACCCAAATTCAGATAGCTGATGTCCTGAAAGAGCTGCAAAATCTGGACCCCTACAAATCAGCTGGGCTAGACAATCTGGACCCTTTCTTTCTAAAATTAGCCGCAACCCCTACTACTAGCCTGTTCAACCTCTTTCGTATCGTCTGAGATCCCCAGAGATTGGAAAGCTGCCGCGGTCATCCCCCTCTTCAAAGGGGGTGACACTCTAGATCCAAACTGTTACAGACCTATATCCATCCTGCCCTGCCTTTCGAAAGTATTTGAAAGCCTACTTAACAAACATATCACCGACCATTTCGAATCCCACCGTACCTTCTCCGCTATGCAATCTGGTTTCCCAGCTGGTCATGGGTGCACCTCAGCCCCGCTCAAGGTCCTAAACGATATTATAACCGCGATCGATAAAAGACAGTACTGTGCAGCAGTTTTCATCGACCTGGCCAAGGCTTTTGACTCTGTCAATCATCGCATTCTTATTGGCAGACTAAATAGCCTTGGTTTCTCAAATGACTGCCTCGCCTGGTTCACCAACTACTTCTCAGATAGAGTTCAATGTGTCAAATCGGAGGGCCTGTTGTGTGGACCTCTGGCAGTCTCTATGGGGGTGCCACAGGGTTCAATTCTCGGGCCGACTCTATTCTCTGTGTATATCAATGACGTCGCTCTTGCTGCTGGTGACTCTCAGATCCACCTCTACGCAGACTAAACCATTTTGTATACATCTGGCCCTTCATTGGACACTGTGTTAATAAACCTCCAAACGAGCTTCAATGCCATACAACACTCCTTCCGTGGCCTCCAACTGCTCTTAAACACTAGTAAAACTAAATGCATGCTCTTCAATCGAACGCTGCTTGCACCCGCCCGCCCGACTAGAATCACTACTCTTGGCGGGTCTGATTTAGAATATGTGGACAACTACTAATACCTAGGTGTCTGGTTAGACCGTAAACTCTCCTTCCAGACTCACATTAAGCATCCCCAATCCAAAGTTAAATCTAGAATCGGCTTCCTATTTCGCAACAAAGCCTCCTTCACTCATGCTGCTAAACATGCCCTCGTAAAACTGACTATCCTACCGATCCTTGACTTCGGCGATGTCATTTACAAAATAACTTCCAACACTCTACTCAGCAAATTGGATGTAGTCTATCACAGTGCCATCCGTTTTGTCACCAAAGCCCCATATACTACCCACCATTGTGACCTGTACGCTCTCGTTGGCTGGCCCTCACTACATATTCGTCGCCAAACCCACTGGCTCCAGGTCATCTATAAATCACTTCTAGGCAAATCCCTGCCTTATCTTAGCTCATTGGTCACCATAGCAACAACACCCACCCGTAGTATGCGTTCCAGCAGGTATAGCTCACTGGTCATCCCCAAAGCCAACACCTCCTTTGGCCGCCATTCCTTCCAGTTCTCTGCTGCAAATGACTAGAACGAACTGCAAAAATCTCTGAAGCTGGAGACTCTTATCTCCCTCACTAACTTTAAGCATCAGTTGTCAGAGCAGCTTACCGATCACTGCACCTGTACACAGCCCATCTGTAATTAGCCCACCCAACTACCTCATCCCCATATTGTTATTTATTTTGCTTATTTGCACCCCAGTATCTCTATTTGCACATCATCTTCTGCACATCTATCACTCCAGTGTTAATACTAAATTGTAATTATTTTGCACTATGGCCTATTTATTGCCTTTCCTCCATAACTTACTACATTTGCACACACTGTATATAGATTTTCTATTGTGTTATTGACTGTACGTTTTGTTTTTGTCTATTCCATATGTAACTCTGTGGTGTTGTTGTTTTTAATCGCACTGCTTTGCTTTATCTTGGCCAGGTCGCAGTTGTAACTGGCTTACCTGGTTAAATAAAGGTTAAATAAAATAAAAAATAAAAATACAGAGACTGCATGTGTTATGTTGAGTGTGCTAGCGAGGAAGACACTTCAATGTGTACTCGGACTGAAAACTAACTGCATTATTCCAGTAGATGACCTGAGATGGGTGAAGAGCCACTGATAGAAGCAGTGATACTAACCTTCATCAGGAATTGGCTCCATGTCCCAAGGGCTCATCTTCTCCCTCTCACTATTATCCCACCTAGTCAAGAGAAATCACACCTCAGCATTCAGTATCATAAGACACTTATATTTTATACATTCCTATTGGGTGTCAGCTACAGTATGAGCTATTGAGGGTCACACTGATGTACCACTCTAGACTGTAAGCTTAAGTCTACAGTATCAGACGTGTTTAACCAACCTATTGAGTGCGGGGTACACATTGACTCACTTGACAGCGTAGCACTGGAACAGGCTGTCTGGGTACTCTGGCTGGAGTGGCTGTTGGTCCTCCACCGAGCCAAACCACCAGGCGTCATCGATGATGCTCCGGAAGCGCACACCTAACCGGGATAAAACATGCTTGTTTCAGTAGATGACAACAGCTGGTCCGTGAATCACACTTACAGAGCACTGATGTATGGGAGCATGAACTGTAAAGCTACATCCCACAGAACACAAACATATGTGGGAGAGCGCACCACACTGCTTATATGGCACAAAGTAGAGAGGAGGAGAAACACATGTAGGCCAGGGAGCTGGACCAATCCTCTGCCAGCCTCTAACCACCATGTACATAAGCCTGTTAGAGTGAAGCAACACTAACCAGTCTGCCAGTTGTGCTCTTTAGCTTCGTCATAGAACTGCTGGAGCACCAGGAAATCAATGACATCCGGCATGTCATGGTACCTGAGAGAGCAAGGACATGTCATTCATTGCCATTTATTGCTGGTTATTACCATATTCTTTTCCAAACAAGAGAATAAGATGGATGACTCACTTTAAGGAGAATGACTCATTGGTCATTTTGCCTGAGACGGGGTGCAGGAATGCCAGTTTTAGGCAACAGAGGGTGGGAGGGCCCACCTCATACTTAATGCCAACCACCTTCACAGACTCCTGGTCCTGAATGACGAGAAAACAGACAAAATATATATATATATATATATATATATATATATATATATATATATATATATATATATATATATATATATATAATATATATTGAAATAAGAGAGAGGGGCCTCACAAAGGATATGTAATACATCAAATACAAATATGTGGTAGACAAAGGAAGCAGTGTGAGTAAGTGTTGAGAGTTAGTCTTACCCTGAGGTTGAGCTTGTTCCAGGGCTGTTTCTGAGGATTGATGCTGTAGGCCTTGGCCCTGTGTACAGCCCTGACGTAGGCCTGGTGGCCCTGCCTGAAGTACATCAGCTGAAGAGGAACAGGTGGGGAGGGTCATCACACAGGCCACATGTCTATTAACTATGACGCAAACCATGCACTATTGTAATAAATGAGGTACAGATTTAGCTCAACTCGAGAGCTTGGGACTATAAGGTTCTATCAGCATTTTTGTCAAAATTCAGTTATTGACATAGCCTTGTCCTGTTCAATGTTCTCTACCTATATAGTACTCTAAATACCTCAATTCATGTTGTTAAGTTCAAAAGAATACAAGAAAATAATTGCTGACACCATTCAAAGCAATGAGGGTTTGGAACTTTTAAGCCAATTATCACAGAATCATCTTTTTGCTGATTGAACCTTATAGTTCCAAGGTCTCGAAATGTCAAATTGTGAAGATATTCGCTGGACCTCCTATGGCCCATAAGGCAGTATGGTTCCTTACCTCGTCACCCATCTGTGGCACAAAAGGAGAGCGGCGGGGGATGGTCTCCATGATCCAGGAGGGGGGAAGCCATTCCTCCGCATCACACCCAGCCAGAGACAGAGATGAGCTAGGTTTCTGAGCACAGAGACAGGCGGTTAAACAGTCTGAAATAACACACACACACACACACACTCTTAAGTAAGGGAACTTGCCCTCAGTCACGAGACCTCAGCACATAAACAAGTCAAAGGCACTGCACTCTGTATAGCCAGTAACTGAGAAAATAGACAAAGTGAATAATAATATGCCATTTCCAAGCAGCAAGTTGGCTGTGCCATTCCCTGCCCAATGCCCATGTCTCTACTGTACGTTCTGTGAGCTCACCTTCTGTTTGGTCTGCTTGGGCTTCTTCTTCTCCTCTGCCTGCTTCCTTCCGGCCTCCTCTCCTTGGCCCTCAGCCTCCTCTGAACTGCTGGAGCCACCGGGCGGTCGGACCTGCCTTCTGCTGGTTCGCTTGGGGGGCTGGAGGTTGATCCCTGCATCAGCTGTCCAATCAGAGTAGTCACTGGAGGAGACACTGAGGGGGAGAAAAGTGGTATCAAAATGTGTATTTTGTAATCACAGACATAAGGTAGTGTAATGAATGGATACCCATGTTCCTGCAGTATACTGACTTTTTAGGAGATGGCAGACATTTACCTGGAACTGCTGTCATTCTGCCACTGTGCTTCCCCATCAGAGGAAGCATCGCTGGCTTCTGCCTGCTCCTCTGCCTGTAAACACACGGAAACATGATTAGACCTCCTCTGACATGACAACACAGAGTCCTCTGCTACTTCAAGAACAGACTACAACCACCCCCACCTCTCCATCGCTGTCTGAGTCCATATGGCTGTCAGAGATCCTCCCCCTGTCCACAGGGCGACGTTCTCCTGCTGAGCGGGTCTGGTACGCTGGTGGAGGTCTGGTCTGCTTCTTCTTCCTCTGGGTCCGCCGCAGGGAGCGCTTGCATGGAGCCTGCTGCTCAGTCTACAGGGGGGAGGGGGGAGAAGTCGTTGATAGAAGAGAAAGCAATTGGTAGAATTCAACAAAGGGGGACACATTTGTCCTGAAAGAAATAAGAGAGCTGTGGGACAGTAGTGTAGTGAATCACCTTAGGAGAACTATGTACAGGTTTCCTCCTCCTCTCTGTGTTGTAGATGGAACACTCCACCTCACCTTTGGCCCGCCTGGTCTCCTCCATCACCCTACACAACACAAACACACACAGCTTCAGTCAGCCACTGGGAGATATCTACCTAGGCACCAATCTTACAAATGGTCCAAGGCCCAAAATTAAGAAGATGGGCAGGACTGGTTAGAACATAATGTTCGAGGCCATCTAAGGTAGGTTCTGTCTGGTCAGTTAGTCAGTCAGTCTCACTTGAGGACCCCTCGCTGGACCTCGTTGACCACAACCCTCCTGCTCCAGGCCAGCAGGTCCCTCTCCGTGGCCATCTGACTGCGAGGGGCGTTGTGGTGCATCTGACGCACCCCCTCCACCTGACCACTCCTCCTCAGGCCCACGTTAGGGGCCGATCCCACATCCTCTGCTCCCTCACCAGCTGCAAATGAGGAAAAACAGAGTTACACATACATATTTCATTCATGACTACAACATCTGAAATCCAATATGCACATACTGTATGAGGGTCATCCTGGTATGTAAATATGGTTATATGAGACTGTGGAACGTACCCCCCTCTCCTTCAGGCTCTCCCTCTTGGTCCTGCCTCTCATCTGGCTGGTTTTGCAACTGTCTGATCAGGACATCCAATGGGCTTTCTCCCTGACCCTCATCTGCCGTTTGCTGGCCAATCACCTGCTCCACCACCTCACCATCACCTAAGCAACAGAGAAGTTACAATTCCCAACATTTTGATTTCAGAGCCAGGTAAAGAAACATTGTTGAAAGCGTTGGTAAGGAGGTTTACCGTTGGCCATGTAGCCCAGCTGGGGCACCAGATGCTCCTCCTTGCAGCTCTCCCTGCCGGGCACCAGGCGCTGGTAGTGTGTGGGGTGGGGGTTGCCATCCACGTCCACCAGGAAGGGAGGGGGCATGAGGTGGGGCGCCTGCTGGGTCTGCTCGTCCAGGACAAAGTTATTGGCGTCCCGGATCAGCGGCCGGAAGTCAGTGTGGAAGAACATCTGGTCAGGAATCTGGAGGGGGGAAATGGAGGAAAGAGGGGATTTGTTATTCTCTTTACAAGCAATAAGATAACATGGAACTAACATATCTTTATCCAAATGAGCCATGTGTAAAGGCCAGACACTCACCTTCTCATAGGGTCTGCTGCAGCCGAAGCCAAAGATGAGCAGGTGGCCATGGGAGTCAGTGCAAGCAAAGTGCTGTCCATCAGCTGAGAACTTACAGTCAAACGCCGCTCCATGGCCTTGGCCCTCAATCTGAGACAGAGGAAGGCTTGTGTGAATGTCGGCCAGGGTGAAAAAAACTGGTATGCCACAAACACAGTCACCATGTAGGACACATATGAAGATCCTTTGCTAACTGGAACAGCCGTCAGTCTCTCACCATGTTGAAGAAGTTGCGGATCTTGGCTCCATTGGCTAGGTCCCACATGTAGATGTTGCCGTCGTGGCCAGCAGAGAGCATGATGCGGTGGTCAAAGGGGTGGGCCTCCAGGACAAACACCTCATCATCATGACCCTGGAGGAGGAACACAACACATTCAGTCCCAACAGGTCACACTCACTGAAGAGACCAGACACACTACAGAGATATCTAATGTTTCAATTCCACAGACGGCTTTATGCCTTTCTACAGAGCCAGAGGTCTCCAGCTGTTTGTGGAGGAGACAGACATGTACTCACAGACAGTACATGTAGTAGCTGGCCCGTGGTGGAGCTCCACACTTTCAGCAGGTAGTTAGAGACCGCTGTGACGACCGTGCGGTCACCGCGGTCCCAGGCCACCATCGTCGGCACCAGCTTGGTCTTGTCCTCGCCATTCACAACAGCACTCCTGTGACACAGTCATACGTTAAGCACACTTACTAATGAGACAAACATAAACCCATACACCCATTTGCTTCTGCACAGACAATTCTAGACAGTATTGCCTTACCCTGGCAGTCTGGTGGCTATGTCCAGAGTAATGCTCTTCCACTCCTGCTGCTGGTAATGCCATATCCTGGCCGTGCCGTCCCGACTGCCACTCACAAACCTCAGGCTGGGGACAGACACAGCAGTTAGAGCCCACACAGCAACAAATCAAAATAGTTGTATCTAATTAAAGAGACAAGAGTACACACTAACCTGTTATTGTTGTTACAAAACTGGACTACCACAACTTTGTCCTGGAAGAAGAGAGGTAAGAGTTAAAAGGAGTAGTAAGAAACAAACTGAACAGTACAAGTGCTGTGATCTAGTTCCATTGATTATTCTGTCTCCTCTCTCTTCTTCTCTCTTGATCTGTTCTTCTTTGCTGTGTCTTACCATGTGAGCATCCAACTCAGACAGCTTCATGGGTGTTTCAGAGCCGAGGTAATACACCCTGATCACATGATCAGTGCCGCCCGTGGCCAGGAACATCCCACCTAAATCAAAGAGCGACAGAGCAACAGGTAAGTACATTAAACTAACAAACAGATGTAGTTCTGTGGCTTTGTGAAAACTTTACCTTCAATCACGTTGTTCAAATAGTCATTTGAATTGAGCAAATAACTCCATAATTCAGTGAAAATGTGAAGAGGAATGAATGTAATGTAAAGCATGTTGTTTATAAGGGGCCACCTACCACAGCTGAAGGAGGAGGTGGAGATCTGGACTCCAGGCCTTGACCGCTCAATGAACTTGACTGGCCGGTCACTGAGGAGGAAACAGAAGACAACACAGGTTAGGGTCACCTAGACCACAAAAAAACAGATCTGTTGAAAATAAAGACACCAACACCTTCTCATCCCTCCCTGGATGCCTCAGACAAACTCTGCTTTGTGGTCCAACACTTACACGAACTTCATGCTGAGCGAGTGCCATTGCCAGAAACACACCATGCCGTCTGCGCCAGTGGAGGCCAGGTACCGCATCGGTCCTTTTACCGCCGGACAAAACTGAGGAGGACAGGGGGTGTCAAACACACTGATATTTCTCAAATCGAAAGGGTCACAAAATTGCACTAAAAAAACCAACAGGTTTCATGCAAGATATTTTACATCACAGAAGGTAAATGAATTAATAATGAAGGGTATAACTAGCTAGGTTCCTATTACTTAGTTATGTGGGCTGTTCTGACCTGTATGGAGGTGATGGAGGCTGCATGGCCCTGCAGCACAGTGATGGGGGCGCAGGTGCGCAGGCACCACACTCTGATGACCTTGTCACAGCTGGCCGAGGCTATGAGCGTGTTCTCGTAGTTTACCGCCATGTCGGAGATCTCGGCTGCGTGGCCACGCAAGGTGGACAGCAGCCGGCCGTCATCTGTGGACCAGATCTTCACCAGACAGTCATCAGAACCCTGGAAGGAGAGGGGTCATGATTAGACACTGGCGGTATAGAGACTGACACTTCAGAGGGAACTGACAACAACTGTCTTTGGTATATCTTCTCTCCTCTTTTGTCAGACTCTTACCGTAAATATCCGTCTGCCACTGCGGTCGAAGGCCACACAGTACACAGAGGACAGGTGGCCCAGGATGCGCCTGTGCATCTTCATATGCTGGTAGGTGTAGGACGGCAGGGCATGGCCGAAGCGGGCAGTGCCAGTAGCCTGGCGAGCACCCATGATGGACACTAGACAGCGAGAGAGTAGAGGTCAGTTGGGCAGAGGTAAAGGAATTTACTATGAAATATGTATTGCTCTGTAGTGTTACCAATCGTTTACAGGTTTCAGGAATATGTTTGTTTTTTAAACAGCACAGCTTACCGATGCTGGGGGGCTTCCCAAAGCTGACTGGTGGTTCTGGGGGGCGACCCCGGTGGAGCGCAGCAACAGCAGTTCCACTCCATTCTGTGTGGCTACAACCTAAGAGAAGACATGGTTCTAAAGCATTACAGACTGTATGACCTAGGAGTCTGGGACATGTATTCTGTATCTGTGTAATCAAGTACCTATGTAGTGATTATGACATTAGTTAGTTTGGTCTTTGATGGCAAGAGAAAGAAATAGAGAAAGAAACAGTAAACAGAGGTGGGGGGGGGGGCTCACTTTTAGCTGTGCGAAGCAAAGACTGCCTTCCCAAGCCCAGGAGGGTCTGGACCCCAGGGACGCTAGGTGGGGCCTCTTTGTCTATGAGAGGACCTATCTGCTGGCATACTCTCAGCAGGTAGTCTGCAGGGATGTGCTGGTTCAAGATCACCTGTGGACACATCAGGGAAAACAGTCATCATATAGACTGTGTGAGAGGAATCAGTAGTAAAACGTAATCAAAGCAACATCATTAGGGAATATGTAACCGTATTCCTAGACACTTTGATACTTGAAATGCCTTACATTCACAACCTAGAGGACATAAGGCAAAATGCATCTTTAGTTAGATTTTATGTTCTCCCCCCAAAACAGACACTGGGCAGGGGAGAAAGTGGCTTGTGAGCACAAATGCTACTCCAATTCAGACTTAAACAAAAAATGCAGTAGTTCTTAGATTAGATTAAATGTGCCCTCTATAACAAGCCACGCACTGTTAAACAGTGCATTTATTCCTTGTGTTATTATTTCTCTCTGAATTGTTGGGAATGGCCCATAAGTAAGCAGTTAGTCTACACCTGTTGTTTACTAAGCATGTGACAAATTGATTTTAACTGATTTCCACAACGATTTTCAAATGTTGCTACCAACCTTGTTATAATGACCAAATTAAACATGTTCACATTTTTTTCCCCCCACAATGTTATTTAACACTGTTAATCATAGGAATGAGTGGTTTGGGGTGGATTCTCTTTAATGTAGTACACACACACTGCAGTTAGCCATCTCGACAGCCAAGGCCAATCTGAATCACCTTCGTTCTCCCAGCTGGCTCAAATAGTAAAGGCTCTGCATTCTAGGGTCGGTTTTCACCTAGCAGAACTCGGCTAGGCTAAGTGAACGTCGGTGCCTCGCATACTCCCTTAAAATATTTAAAAACTACAACAAAGCGGGAATGGTGCGGTTTGTGTATCATGAGACGCCTTAGCCACTATATAGACCTAATTAATCTAAAATAACTCAAGAAATCTGTCATTAATTTTTACGTTTTTGCAGAGATCTTAGTTGCGCAATTTTACATCTAACTAAGATGTTTGGTGCAGTATTTCTCAAGTTAAAAACGTGCATGAAAACGAGTTCTCACTCAATGACACACACTTCATTGAATAATCCCCACTGTTGACCAATCTCTGACAAAGGGTCCTAGACTTCGGCGACCGAACTTCTGCTGCGTTCAAAAAAACGGGGAGGTTCTGAACGCAGCATTCAAAACAACTGGGTAATCGGAAAAAAACGAGCTCCAACTGGGAAAAATCGCTTTGAACGGTCATCCAAATCGGAATTCCAAGTCGGGAAATAGGGCCTCTTTCTAGAGTTCCGACTTTCCGACCTGAAGATCACTGACGTCATGATGTTACCTAGTTTTTCCAAATTCCCAGTTGTCCTGAAAGCACCATTCCGCTTGCCTCGAGAAAAAATATGTACTGTGTACAAACTACCGAAAAAACCCTTGCGGATACCAAAACGACGTCATAATATATGCACGAACTGATGGGAAGCATGCGGACGCCTTAACTGCTATTTCATTGGCTGTCTGTGAAGATTGACGTTTCCCAAGCCTTTGTATAGCCTCATTCTGTTTACCCCTCCTCTTTGCAGACACACAACACGGCTATAATTCCTGACCAAATATATTAATTTTAAGTAATTAAATGCCGGCTATTACTCAAACGCACAGTTAGTTATTTTTAAACCATCATCCATCAACTGAACCAAAACATTTGAAAGCCGGCAAAATATTGATATACAAATGTATTCTCGAAAACAAAAGTTACAGAATTGGATAGCCGGTTATGAACTTATTATAATAACTAACCCAGTCTTGGAAGTTTCGTTTGTATTGTTTGCCGTCCCAACTCCATCGTTTCGGGATCAACTAAACGGAAGACATGCGGTTAGATAAATGCATCAAAACTCAATAAATACAATAATGTATTTGCCGTATTGTTCATGCCTCTATCAATAACAAAGTACACCATACCAATACAAATAGAAAGCGCCCAATATCGCGGAAACGAGACGTGAGAACAAGCTAATATAGACGAGAGCGGGCGCAGCTTACCTCATACTCTTCCAGTTCCTCAACCAGGATCTATGGAGAGAGTTGCTAGTCTTTAGCACACATTCAGACATATTTAGATAGCTAGATAGCAATTGTAGCTATTAAAGTTATCGATATAACTTGTCATTCCTACCTGTGCCGATTTTTTACACGGTCCGGACTGGAGAAATCTGGCAATGAGGTAATACAATTCTGAAAATAGAGAGGCGCATTATTAAGCCAGTCAATAGCTTGTTAAGCTAGCTAGCTAACTACTAGCTAGCTAGGCTAACTGACTCAAGCCCTAAACTGTGTTTGCGTTCATATTTTAATAGAGAAATAGCTAGACACAACACTCACCAGCTTCGATTTGTGAACACTGTTCTTCTGCCATCACTTGATAAAAATATCGACATTTGATTCACTAATGTTTAGGTGTATTTGGAGAATGGCTACTTGAATTGTTTCCCCAGCGTTTGGCCTTTTCTTTTCTCAAGCTATCACACAGCTTTGTTAGCGCCCTCCCGCGACCAATGAAAGCAATTCCAGCACGAGCCACCTGGTGGCCATACCACCTGGTTTTGGTGAGGAGGTCATACCCTATAGTGGGTCATACAGTACTGGGCACGGTTTCCCAAAAGCATCTTAAGGCTTAGTTCATCGTTATGGTTCTAAGATTAATTTAGCCTTAAGATGCATTTGGGAAATCGAGCCCAGGGCAGAGACCTTTTATTTAGGACATATTGGTAGATATTAAAGTTGTTTTTATGACAGTAGAGCATATTCTGGGGTATTGAGTATTATGTAATTTCAAATAAACGAACAAGTAAGGCCTATTATATTCTGCTGATGAGATTTCATGGATGTTGATCTCATTTCTTGCCTTTACTTTTAGCCTATGTACTTCCAAATATTACAATTTAGTTGCAACTTTCAAGTACAAGGTTCTTTTCAGACAACTTACCATATGGCAAAAATAATGCTGCTGCAATGGGTACTGCCAAACACTATTTAGGCCTAGTTAGAGCAAGGTTACCAATTTGCATGTCAAACAATTATATAATGTATAGCTGAAAAATCGCATGCTTTTGCAAGACAGATAATCATGTCTTTGTGGTGATTTGTAGGCTCTACAGTGCCTTGCAAAAGTATTCATCACCCTTGGCGTTTTTCCTATTTTGTTGCATTACAACCTGTAATTTAAATGGATTTTTATTTGGATTCCATGTAATGGACATACACAAAATAGTCAAAATTGGTGAAATGAAAAAAAAATAGTTTAAAAAATGTCTCAAAAATAAATAATGGATAAGTGGTGCGTGCATATGTATTCACCACCTTTGCTATGAAGCCCCTAAATAAGATCTGGTGCAACCAATTACCTTCAGAAGTCACATAATTAGTTAAATAAAGTCCACCTGTGTGCAATCTAAGTGTCCCCATGCTCTACCCTGTAGCTCAGTTGGTAGAGCATGGCGCTTGCAACGCCAGGGTTGTGGGTTAGTTTCCCACGGGGGGCCAGTATGAAAATATATGCACTCACTAACTGCAAGTCGCTCTGGATAAGAGCGTCTGCTAAATGACAAAAAAACGACAACAAAAAATATGGAAAAAGGTACTCTGGTCAGATGAGACTAAAATTGAGCTTTTTGGCCATCAAGGAAAACGCTATGTCTGGCGCAAACCCAACACCTCTCATCACCCCGAGAACACCATCCCCACAGTGAAGCATGGTGGTGGCAGCATCATGCTGTGGGGATGTTTTTCATCTGCAGGGACTGGGAAACTGGTCAGAATTGAAGGAATGATGGATGGCGCTAAATACAGGGAAATTCTTGAGGGAAACCTGTTTCAGTCTTCCAGAGATTTACATTTACATAATTTAGCAGACGCTCTTATCCAGAGCGACTTACAAATTGGTGCATTCACCTTATAGCCAGTGGGATAACCACTTTACAATATATATATATATATTTTTTTTTTTTGGGGGGGGGGGGGGGTGGGGTAAGGGGGGGTAGAAGGATTACTTTAACAGTTTTGTCTGGGCTGAGCGGGAACTGTGCTTCCGCAGAGGTAGGGGGGCCAGCAGGCCAGAGGTGGATGAACGCAATGCCCTCGTTTGGGTGTAGGGACTGATCAGAGCCTGAAGGTACGGAGGTGCCGTTCCCCTCACAGCTCCGTAGGCAAGCACCATGGTCTTGTAGCAGATGCGAGCTTCAACTGGAAGCCAGTGGAGTGTGTGGAAGAGCGGGGTGACGTGAGAGAACTTGGGAAGGTTGAACACCAGACGGGCTGCGGCATTCTGGATGAGTTGTAGGGGTTTAATGGCACAGGCAGGGAGCCCAGCCAACAGCGAGTTGCAGTAATCCAGACGGGAGATGACAAGTGCCTGGATTAGGACCTGTGCCGCTTCCTGTGTAAGGCAGGGTCGTACTCTCCGAATGTTGTAGAGCATGAACCTACAGGATCGGGTCACCGCCATGATGTTAGCGGAGAATGACAGGGTGTTGTCCAGGGTCACGCCAAGGTTCTTCGCACTCTGGGAGTAGGACACAACGGAGTTGTCAACCGTGATGGCGAGATCATGGAACGGGCAGTCCTTCCCCGGGAGGAAGAGCAGCTCCATCTTGCCGAGGTTCAGCTTGAGGTGGTGATACGTCATCCACACTGATATGTCTGCCAGACATGCAGAGATGCGATTCGCCATCTGGTTATCAGAAGGGGGAAAGGAGAAAATTAATTGTGTGTCGTCTGCGTAGCAATGATAGGAGAGGCCATGTGAGGATATGACAGAGCCAAGTGACTTGGTGTATAGCGAGAATAAGAGAGGGCCTAGAACTGAGCCCTGGGGGACACCAGTGGTGAGACCATGTGGTGCGGAGACAGATTCTCGCCACGCCACTTGGTAGGAGCGACCGGTCAGGTAGGACGCAATCCAAGAGTGAGCCGCGCCGGAGATTCCCAGCTCGGAGAGGGTGGAGAGAAGGATCTGATGGTTCACAGTATCAAAGGCAGCAGACAGGTCTAGAAGGACAAGAGCAGAGGAGAGAGAGTTAGCTTTAGCAGTGCGGAGAGCCTCCGTGACACAGAGAAGAGCAGTCTCAGTTGAATGACCAGTCTTGAAACCTGACTGGTTTGGATCAAGAAGGTCATTCTGAGAGAGATAGCACGCTCAAAAATCTCTTCCAGAGATTTGAGACCAGGACGGAGGTTCACCTTCCAGCAGGACAATGACCCTAAGCATACTGCAAAAGCAACTCTCGAGTGGTTTAAGGGGAAACATTTAAATGTCTTGGAATGGCCTAGTCAAAGCCCAGACCTCAATCCAATTGAGAATCTGTGGTATGACTTAAAGATTGCTGAACACCTGCGGAACCCATCCAAATTGAAGGAGCTGGAGCAGTTTTGCCTTGAAGAATGGTAAAAAATCCCAGTGGCTAGATGTACCAAGTTTATAGAGACACACCCCAAGAGACTTGCAGCTGTAATTGCTGCAAAAGGTGGCTCTACAAAGTATTGACTTTGGGGGGGTGAATAGTTATGCACGCTCAAGTTTTCTGTTTTTTTGTCTTATTTCTTGTTTGTTTCACAAGAAAAAATATTTTGCATCTTCAAAGTGGTAGGCATGTTGTGTAAATCAAATGATACAAACCCCCCCAAAATCAATTTTAATTCCAGGTTGTAAGGCAATAAAATAAGGGGGTGAATACTTTCGCAAGCCACTGTATACAAGTAAGCTGTCATGATACACTATATATATAAAAAGTGTGTGGACACCCCTTAAAATTAGTGGATTCGACTATTTCAGCCACACCCGTTGCTGACAGGTGTATAAAATTGAGCACACAGCCATGCAATCTCCATAGACAAACATTGACAGTAGAATGGCTTTACTGACGGGCTCAGTGACTTTCAACGTGGCACCGTCATAGGATGCCACCTTTCCAACAAGTCAGTTAGTCAAATTTCTGCCCTGCTAGAGCTGCCCCAGTCAACTGTAAGTGCTGTTATTGTGAAGTGGTAATGTCTAGGAGCAACAACGGCACCACACAAGCTCACAGAACGGGACCGGCGAGTGCTGAAGCGCGTAAAAACTGCCTGTCCTCGGTTGCAACACTACCGAGTTCCAAACTGCCTCTGGAAGCAACGTCAGCACAATAACTGTTCGTTTGGAGCTTCATGAAATGGGTTTCCATGGCTGAGCAGCCGCAGACAAGCCTAAGATCACCATGCGCTATGCCAAGCGTCGGCTAGAATGGTGTAAAGCTTGCTGTCATTGGACTCTGGAGCAGTGAAACGCGTTCTCTGGAGTGATGAATCACACTTCACCATCAGGCAGTCCGACAGACGAATCTGGGTTTGGCAGATGCCAGCAGAACGCTACCTGCCCCAGTGCATAGTGCCAACTGTAAAGTTTGGTGAAGGAGGAATAATGGTCTGGGGCTGTTTTTCATGGTTCGGGCTAGGCCCCTTAGTTCCAGTGAAGTGAAATCTTAACGCTACAGCATACAATGACATTCTAGACGATTCTGTGCTTCAAACTTTGTGGCAACAGTTTGAGGAGGGTCCTTTCCTGTTTCAGCATGACAATGCCCCTGTGCACAAAGTGAGATCCATGCAGAAATTGTTTTTCGAGATCGGTGTGGAAGAACTTGGCTGGCCTGCACAGAGCCCTGACCTCAACCCCATCGAACACCTTTGGGATGAATTGGAATACCGACTGCGAGCTAGGCCTAATCGCCCAACATCAGAAGCAAGTTCCCGCAGCAATGTTCCAACATCAAGTGGACAGCCTTCCCAGAAGAGTGGAGGCTGTTATAGCAGCAAAGGGGGGACCAACTCCATAGAAAATGCCCATGATTTTGGAATGAGATGTTTGACGAGCAGGTGTCCAAATACTTTTGGTCATGTAGTGTACCTAGGGTCCATTCACTCTCAATTTGAGTTTTGGTCAGCAAATAGTGACTAGGACATTTTGCCAAATACAGAAAGTAGGTTGCAAAATGCTACCTCTGACCAAAACTTTTCCATCGGTCATTAGTTGCGTCCGTATTAAGATTATTGTGAGTTTACATATGATATGGTAATGAAACAGTAATAATGACATGTAAAGTAATGAGACAGAGTGCAACCTCATGAGGAAAATTCCAATTACTATTTTATTAGATTCCAATTAGACATCCAGAACTTCAGTGGGAACACAACAGATGGCGGCATATTTCAATAAAAAATCCCAACATTTGTTTCAAAAAGCATAAGCGACTTCCAACAAGCCTCTTCTGCCATTAAAATAATTTGTCATCAAAATAATTCAGAGCAAGATTATTTCAAAAGCAGGTATGCCCACATCATTATTAAGCCTGGAATGTTTTCAATATTTTTTCAATATTTAAATTCCTCTTACAGACAATCACGTTGAAAAGAAGTAAACCCCCACATAAAGAAAAAACACTGCACATATCAAGGGTAAAAATACAGCCACCAACTAAAGAGATGTTGTGATTTTGTTGAGTTGGCAAACCTACAATGTGATACTATACCACCTGCAATTAGTTTGCCAGCCAGCATTCTTTTTTTAACTCCCAACAAGCTACCAACACTAATAAAAAAAACGAAACCGTAATTATGTTTGCTTAAAAACACTTGATATGACCACTGCACAACAGAACAATCTTCCATATTTAGCTTTGTTTTGTGCTAAAAACCTGTACCAATAATTACAAAATTGTTGATAAAAATATTCCTCTGTTAATAAGGTAATGGAGGTTTTAGGGAAAACACATGAGACTTGGGGGCCATACAAGGGAGGGGATTGGACGGCCAGGACAGGTGCTACTCAGTCTTCTCTTCTGGAGTCTCTACCTGTAAGATGACAAAAGTAAGACCTTGAGATCCATTCACTGTGAGACACTGAGAATCCTGAATGATTCATGCTTTTAGATGGATTTGCCTCCAGAAATAGTCAGATACAACTAACTAAAAACAACCTTCTCGAGATAATACTTCCAAGTACAAAGGATTGTTAATATAAAAGTATCAGTGTATCACTGATATGGCATGACATACTTCGTCTGTCTTGGTCTCGCCATTTTCAGACTGGGTCTCCTCTTTAGGCTCCCCGACTGCTGCTGCCTTAACCTTCTTCTTGTCTTCCTTCTTCTTGTCATTTACTTCTTTTTCTTTCTGTGTGGACAATTTACATGCATATCTGTCAAATCTTCTCTGCCTGGCACCTCAAAGTGATGTAATTGTCTTGACACTTAATATGGGTGTGAATGTGCCGAGAAGACAACATGTAATACTAAACACCTGACATGCATAATTATATTGAATGTGTAAATGTTGAAGACAGGTAAGTATTACCTTAGCTGGCTTTTTTGGTTTTGGTGCTGGTTTGGGAGGGGCTGGTTTCTGAAAAATACAGAAGGAAGAGTATATTGATACAATAGATCCCATGAAACAGGCCAAAAAACAAAAGTTATAGTTGAAAATAAGAAAATCTATTTTTAAAGGTTAAATAGTTGTAGTGCTGATGCCTATATACTGATGCCTATATACGTATTACATTTCCAAAAGGAAGCTTTAAAGAAACAAAATGTACACACCGATGACAACCGTGCAGATCTCCTTGACGGCTAATGTAAGGAAAGAGAATAATATTACTCAATCAAAGGTGTGTGAAAACATTTTTAAAAGAATTGAATGATGATGCTTGATTCATCTACATAATGCAGACAATTGAATATTTCCCTATTTCAAGAATACATTATCCTTTTCAACAAATTGAATATTTTCAGGTTTTCACAAGCAAATAATGTGATAAAATCATCACCAGTAATCACTAGTGATGATTTTAATCATGGTGAAGATTGCAACCTGTAGCCTATTCTACAAGGGTGATATTCAAGTGTGTGTGTCTTTGTGTGTGTATCACTTACCTCCCCCTTGACATCTCCATCGGCTCCCTGCAAAATGTATTTAAAAATACATTACTCAAAATGATTGGAAACAATAGCATGCATATCTAAAACATAATATATATTGCTGAATATTTCAATATTGTCTCAAATGTGTAACTGTAAGTTCACAGAAACGTAGCCTCTTGCAAACATTCGCAATAGCCTACACTTGACCTTTACAGACAGCCTCTATTCATTCTAGATTTGTGCTTCATATTCTATGCTTTGAGTAGAAGAAGCAGTGGCACAGTTTTTTTTTTCTTCATTGGGACATTAGTCCTCATCGGTTTTCACCAAATGAATTTTAGGGGGAGGGGCAGAACCAACTGTGTTCCGCCCCCTGGCGATAAGAAGGCGCAATAGCACCCATTTAACGCGAACAAAGAAAACATTAAAATTATCATTTTTGCGACGGTCTTAGAATACAATTATATCGAGGAAGAAATGAAGAGTTTTTACTTTATTTTTCTGTACCCTTTCAATGCAGATTTACACGGTCGAACTATCAAAAGGCATCCGTTTTGTTTGGCTGTGTTCGCGATGTGGGTAGGAACTGCAAAGCATGGCTGCTTGTGGTTTCAATAGCATGGAGATCCAGCCTGACTTCAGATCAGACAGAAGATTGTGTGCGCCTCTCAAGAAATCCCTCAGAACATTCTAAATTCGGCGAAATAAGACGCTATTTGCAAACCAAAAAAATCTAATAATTATTTCAAAAGATTTTTTTGCAAGAGTGAACATAAATACATACGTCAGATTTGTATTAAATCTCCGTTCTCTCGAAGGCTTCATAATATCACGACTGATTTATACAGGGCAAAAAGTATATCCGCATACTGTAATCTAGGCTCTCTACATACCTTTCTCTTGGGCATGTTGGACTTGTGTAGGTTTTCTTCTTTAATAGAAACTAAAGATCTAGCTATATTTTGTGATTCAGAGTTCACAGTTTGCAGAGACTGGCGTCTTCTTATTAATACTGTAGTAAAGATACAGCACATTAAACCCAGTGGTTGGATGGGGGTGGGGGTAGGTGCGGCTAAATGGTGACTGATGTTATGCTTGGCCAATCGAAGGATGGCACAAGGTGTCACAAAAGAAACAGATTTTCAATGTAGTTAATTTACGCGCGAAATTCCCAGTGAAAGTGAATGACGTGTTTATCATTTGTAACAGCTAGGCCTATTCACGGTGCAAGAACATTTAAGAAATCACAGACGTTAATGTTGCAATTCTGCTTGCATTCACGCGCTTAGTGTTGAACAGCCACCATGAGATGAAAACACGAAAACATTGGAAGACACAATAGGGTCTTCTTAAAAAGAAAAACCATCCCCCCTGTCAACTGGGCAAGGCGGTGTCCTCTAATGGCACTGAATCTTATATATGGCAGGGGAACAGGGAACGAGTTCATGTTCATCCCAGTCATCTCTGTTCAGTGAGGAATAGGCTGGTTCATGCTATGGGCACAGATGTATAAAACTTTTACATTGTGTATAGTATTTTGACAACCTCAAGTCAAACCCCTCTAGTCAAAAGTCTGTCGTGGCATTACCACACGAAAGGATATTCTACAATATCCAAACTGGACCCTGAGTCTAAAGAAATCTCATAGCCATGTCTTGTGCATTCATATGAAATCTTGAAAAAAATCTGGGGAAAAAAAACATGTCGCCAAATAATCACCCGGATTTTTGATAGGCCTATATTCTCTTAATCAGACAGCTTTAGGCCTACGTTGGGTAGTTAGTAGGTTATAACCCTATTACTGTATTTTCCTTATGTCAGCGCATATGTATATTTTGCTTTATTTCAGTTATATTAATTTAAATTCTTACTTGAAAAATATGGGAGAGACATTTATTATGTATTTATTAGGCTATACAAATAGGCGTAAAAAATATGAACATAGTCAAACGTATTTGGAAATACATTTCGAAAGCACTGGGATAGTGTCCCCAATTGTTTTTAGATATCTGATTTCCATCAGTTGTTACAGTCACACAGAGAGAGAGGGAGAGGGAGAGAGAGAGAGAGAGAGTGAGAGAGATATCATTTGGAGACGTTGGTACAGTGTGCACTGTTCACTTGGTTTTGGGGAGTGAATCAAACAGCCATGGTGATAAAAGTCTTCATAGCGTCATCCTCTGGATCGACAGCGGTAAGAAACCTCGAGTATTGCGTAAGCTTTGTAGCCTATTGACCGTTTATGTTCATTTTCTTGGCGAATTCAAATGACATGTATTTGCATGATTAGGTAGGTGTGGTGGGCTCATACGAGTGAGCAATTGCTCTGTTGTAGCTACGCAGATACTATCATGTGTATTAGGCTCTATCGAGTATTGAATGAGCATCGACATAAACTTGTTTTGAAAGTTCTGCAAGTTGTGCATGGGATGTCCCAAGCAATAGAGTAGAAGCTGGGACTGACAGCTGCACAAATACACTAGATTCTAAAGGCTTCTCAGCATGACAATGCATATTGTAATGGCCCTAAAACAAGTAGGACCTGCCATTTGGGCAGATATTGATTTGTCATATGACTATTATTGTATTAATTTGTATAGTGTTAATATAGTATTAGCACAATACTATGATTGTATTGTATCTAAAATGCATTTACAACACAGTATAATAAAAAAGAGGTTACATAGTCACGTATTTGTTGTCTATAGGAATAGCAGTCTCTTACTACTGCTCAAACCCATCTGTGTTGGAGTATTTTTATGAGTGAGCATGCAGACAAGAATGTTTAGGTGAAGCACTTGGTGAAACATCTCAGATTTTTTCAAGCAACTGTTTTTGTCCAAGTGGTGAGGGTGAGGGGTCAGGCTTAACTAGACTCTCCCAGCAGATGTTGACTCCCTCACCACCACCTTCCTCCATTTTCCTGTCCCACCACTCCTTCCCTACATACTGTAAAACAACACGCCTAGCCTATAGGACCGTTGCCAGTGGTGTTCTGGGCCAGAACAGCTGGACAGGATCAGTCTTTGGACATCTGAGCTTCATACCTCACCCAATTACAGTACATCACCCTCTAAAGAATCAGTCAAAAAGCACAACGGCTACAGAACAACTGCCTCAGCCAACCTCATAATTATCTGGTCTGAAAGACGGATATTATTGCTTACTGTGAATTTGCAAGTCACAACCATGACCATACAGAAATAGTTATCTATACAGAATTGTCTAGCCAGGCTTCTTTGTGTACAAGAGTTGACAACATGTTTCATCTATATAATTTGATGTCATATTCCAAAGTATTCTTCCTCTAATTCTTAAATAAACTCATGCAGCGCTGAGTTTAGACAGAACAGAAGTGGTAGCATGGGAACACTGGGCTCTCCTCCTGCTGCCATATTTGGTCTGTGCCTGACTTCTTAGCTGATCCTGGTTGTGGAGAGGCCTTATTGGGTCTGTCTCAGTCCTCAGGCTCTTCTGCAGAATGCAGCCCAGCTGCAGAGGCTCTGCAAAGTGAACAGAGGCTTATCTCCCTATACTCCACCCAAACAGTATTGTTATTGTATCATTATTACATTAACTAATTGAATATCTATATCCCCTCTCTGCCTGTAGATTAAGAAGCAGCAGCAAGACATCATGGGTTTCCTAACTGTCAACAAGATTGACTTTGAGGAGTGTGACATCGTCACTAGTGAAGACAACAGGAAGTGGATGAGGGAGAACGTACCTGAGGACTTCAGACCAACGACGGGTGTCCCCCTGCCTCCACAGATATTTAATGAAGAACAATACTGTGGGGTGAGTGTTGTACTGTAAAGACCCCTTCACAGCCCGGTACCTTTTGTAACAATTTGTGTAATAACCTAATGAAACACACTTAGTGAGACCGCTTCCCTTGTATTGTCATTGCAGAACTATGAGGCCTTCTTTGATGCCCGTGAGGAGCATGCAGTGTATGCCTTTTTGGGCCTAACAGCCCCTCCAGGCTCCAAGGTAAAGACAATGGTCTTATGGACATACTCAGTCTGTCACAACCACACACAGAGTAACATACGAATGTGCACGTGACCAGTCCGTCTACTTTTAATTGATTGCTTGTTGTTTTGAAGTGAACCTTACAGTGCTGAATTTGTAGCTTACTAAAAAAAATATGGTCCTAAATTGCCCTCTGGCCCTAGCTGTATACAGCCATTATAACATGACTGGAATGCTATTTTTGGCCAATGGGTATGTGTGGCCTAATTAACTGTTCTATCCGTTGAGGGAAGAGTGTCGCGTAAGAGTGATGACATCTGACGTAAGACAATGATAATCAACCCCACAGTTAGACTACAACACAATCAGTGTATAAGTTACATTTGTCCCAAAAAGAAGCTCAATGTCACGCCCTGACTCAGGGGACTCTTATATGTTGAGTCAGGGTGTGTATATTCTTTGTTGTGTATGTTCTATGTTGTTTTTCTAGTAGGTGTATATCTATGTTGGCCGGTGTGGTTCCCAATCAGAGGCAGCTGTCGCTCGTTGTCTCTGATTGGGGATCATACTTAGGCAGCCTATTGGCACTAGTGTGTCGTGGGATCTTGTTCCGGTTAAGGTTTGTTGTGTGTCTACCTTAGGACTTCACGTTTCGTTTAGTTTATTGTTTTGTCGTGTGTTTATTAAGTTTAATAAACATGTACGCATATCACGCTGCGCCTTGGTCTGACCCGTCATTCAACGAACGTGACACTCAAAAGCATTTGACTAACACACGGTAGATTACGAAATGTAAATTCATGTTCTGGAGGAAGGTTTTTGTGGCATGTTATTATGCTAAATCTATGCAATTCATCTCCATGTGTTGAACACGTGTTTAGTATCTGGTTCAACTGAGGCTTTAGCTTTATTTTTAGATTTCTACCTGTAGTACTTCTCTCTGAGGTCTCAGAATGTATGTTAAAGGGCCATTATGCAATGACTGTGAGTTTTAAAGCGGCAATCAGCAGTTGCAACATTAACAACCCGTTTTCCCCGTCCCTGATTCGGTAGAAAGCTGAGGGATGGAGCTGGAGAAATGTAACCACTCTCAAATTCACAGACAGTGGTATGGATGCAATGACTGACAATCCATTATATAAAAATTCTAGTTTTAACCATGTTTTGAGGCTATATAGTGTTTACCCTGTTTACAAACATTGGAGTAAAACAAGCTTATATTTTGGGTTCTGATGGGGTACGACAATTGAACTAAGCTCATAAGGCATTTATACATTATAATCTTCAAGAATCAACAGGTACATATAATTAATGTATAAGTCCAAAAATGGATGTTGCAAAATGCAGATTGCCCTTTTAATGATTGTTTTGCTTTTTGTCCAGGCAAAATATAATAAATATCTCACAAAAGACGAATGCAATACAAATTGATTCACAATAACAAAGTAGTTGATGATTCACAATAACATTGTTGATCCTACAGGGTGAGTAGTTAATTGTAGTTAGTTGTAAGAACTCAATGTTGCTTTGAATTCCCAGGCAGTGTTTCCTCTTTTACCATGTATTTCACAGCACTGTTGCACAATATAGAGGCAATGAATGCTGACCTGCTTTTAAGCTGCAAGTCCAGACTGTTCTGTTGGCTACTTTACTATATCATTACAACACTTACACACAATTGTGGTTTTAAAATGACATAAACATTTTGGTGGAAGCATAATTACAGTTGGTCTCAACCCTGGTTTTGTATCATTTTCTTAGCACTGTTTTCATACCACCCACAGGAAGCAGAGGCCTTGGCCAGACAGGAACAACAGTAGCCGTATGGTTTTGGTTAGCGGACCACAGTGCCCTCTCCTGGCTTCTTCCAGTCAGCTCTACAGCAGCTTGCCAGTGCTCTTCTGGAACACGTCTTCTCAGACCAATCATAGAGCTTTATTTTTTGTGAAAGGTAATCAGACTGGTATCCAATTGACCAACAGAGCATGGCCAAATGTTGTGTTGTTTGACAATGTCTTTAAAGTGGTAACCTTGTACTGTTTCAATAGTTCAAGCCAATGCTGGGCAGTATCCAGTGTTCAATATGATTTTGAAATCAAGGCGGAATGAGTTCCCAAATACTAGGCATTTAGTAGATCATATAGACATACTTTGCACATATGAGAATATTTAATTCAATGAGATATTTTTCATGTTTGATAATAAAATAGTGTTACTTTACTATCTTATTCTTAACCAGTTTCCTTGTTATTCTTGTAGCACAATGGTGTAGCCAGAGGACAGCTAGTTTCCGTCCAACTCTGGGTACATTTACTTCAATACAAAACCTAAGAGGTTCATGGTTCTCATCCTCTTCCATAGACGTACACAGTAATTATGACAACTTCCGGAAGACGTCCTCCAACCTATCAGAGCTCTTGCAGCATGAACTGACATGTTGTCCACCCAATCAAAGGATCAGAGAATGAATCTAGTACTGAAAGCATAAGCTACAATTAGCTAGCACTGCAGTGCATAAAATGTGGTAATTAGTTGACTGAAAGAGACAGAAAGACAGTTTTGAACAAATACATTTCTTTAAAAATGAAGGAGAAGCAAGAGAGAGAGAGCTAGCTATATATATCGTCATATTTTTTTCACTTTCACTTAGCTAGCGAATACAGCTAGATAGTTTAGCCTACTCAAACACCTGTCTCAAACAGAGAGGGATGCTATGTTAGCTAGCTGGCTATGGCTATCCAACACTGGAACTCTTCCAAGTCCAAGCTTTTGGTTTGATTAATTTATTACCATCGGGGCCTGCCGGTGTAACTGCTAAATTGCTTGCTGACTGTACTGCATTATTGTAGCGGGTTTACTAACGCCTTAGTTCTAGTAGCTATGTTGACTATGACGTTAGCTAATATGGTGACAGCGATGTAGGCTGTGTGTAGCGGTTATGATATGAAGGTTTGACTTGGAAAGGTTTTTTCACCTGGTCACAGACAGCTGATTTGTTGTGCACTGAAGGGTAAAGGTGAGAGCGCGTAGATTGCAGAAATAATTATGTGGTCTTGCTGTTTGTATGTGGCTGCTATGAAAGTGAACTGTGTTATGCGTGTGATCAGGGGTGTATTCATTCCGTCGATTCTGTTGAAAAAAAAATCTTAAATGGAAGCAAACAGAACCAAACGGGGCTAAACATACCTGAATTTGTCCAATAGAAACTCTTGTTTGGAACTGTTGGACTAATGATTACACCCTAGATCAGCTAGATGCAGGCAAGAGTGTGCAAGGCGGTATTGAATGTGTCACTGTCTGTCACTTTGATTACTAAAAATGTTATCTCGACCCGTGCACCTACATTGTAAACTTTAATTCATAGGCTATGTTGCAGCAACCTCATGATGGATATGAAATGTATGCACTCACTAACTGTAAGTCCCTCTGGATAAGAGCGTCTGCTAAAATGACTAAAATGTTTTAAAAAATATATTGATGAGGCACTCGTCGAGTGTCACATCCGTCCCTCTACCTCACCCGTGGGCGCATGCTTCTTATTCGTGGGGGAAAAGGACGGTGGGCAGCGGCCGTGCATTGATTACCGGGTGCTCAACGACATCACGGTTAAGAACCGCTATCCACTCCCCCTGATGACGACGGCATTCGAGTCGTTGCAGGGAGCCCGGTTCTTCACCAAGCTGGACTTATGCAATGCCTACAACCTGGTGAGAATTCAGGAGGGGGACGAGTGGAAGACGGCTTTTACCACACCCAGTGGGCATTACGAGTACCAAGTCATGCCGTTCGGTCTAGCCAACGCGTCTGCGGTGTTCCAGGCATTGGTCAATGACGTGCTCAGGGACCTCCTCGACTACAGCGTATTCGTGTATTTGGATGACATTCTAATATTCTCAAAGGACATGAGTGAACACCAGCATGTACTGGATTGGCCCCAGCCCTCATCCCTCAAGCAACTACAGCGGTTATTAGGGTTTGTTAATTTTTATAGGTGATTTATTCATAATTTTAGCTCCGTAGCCACTCCCCTGACAGCGTGCACTCCTTAGCATGGACCCCGGAAGCGGGGAACGCATTTGATGCGCTTAAGCAGCGCTTTACATCGGCCCCGGTCCTAGGTCATCCTGATCCGTCCCAGCCGTTCATTGTGGAGGTGGATGCTTCAGATGTTGCGGTGGGAGCAATCCTGTCCTACAGTGGTTCCTCACAGACGGTAAGACTCACCCCTGCGCGTTTTTTTCTCGTCGGCTATCCCCGGCAGAGCGGAATTACGACGTGGGGAACCGTGAGTTGCTAGCGGTCAAGCTCGCCCTGGGGGAGTGGAGGCATTGGCTAGAGGGGGCCGCCCATCCATTCGTCAAATGGACGGACCATAAGAACTTAGCCTACATTCAGGGGGCCAAGAGGCTCAACTTGCGCCAGGCCAGGTGGGCGTTGTTCTTCACCAGGTTCTGGTTCACCATCTCATAGCGTCCGGTGCTCTCCCGGCAGTTCGACCCCGTGGATCTGGTGGAGAGGGATGACCCCATTGTCCCCAATGCCCTGATTGCTGCACCAGTTTCGTGGGGAATAGATAGGCTGGTCAGAGCAGCGCTACGGCGGGAGCCCGATCTGGGCGGAGGTCCATCGGGGAGGATGTACGTACCCAAGGCTGTGTGCTCGCTACTGCTTCAGTGGGTGCACGCATCCGACTTCACCAGCCATCCGGGGAGCGCCAGGACGTTGGAGTACCTGCGTAGGAGGTTCTGGTGGCCATCTGCTGAGGGGGATATGCGCGCCTTCGTGGCTGCTTGTCCAGTGTGCGCGCGCACAAAGAGCTCACGTCAGCCTGCGGCAGGGCTGCTCCGACCCCTGCCTATCCCCAAGCGTCCCTGGTCCCACATCTCTCTGGATTTCATTTCCACCCTACCCCCTCTGATGGATACAAAGTCATCCTGGTCGTTGTGGACCGATTCTCCAAGGCTGCCCACTTCATTCCCCTTCCCAAACTCCCGTCGGCCCGGGAGACGGCTAAGTTGGTGGTGCAGCACATTTTCCGGGTCCACGGCCTTCCCCAACATGTGGTGTCGGATCAGGGCCCTCAGTTCGCCTCCAGGTTCTGGAAGGCGTTCGCCACCTTCCTCGGCGCCTCCGTCAGCTTGTCTTCCGGCTTCCATCCCCAGTCGAACGGGCAGACGGTGCGCATCAACCAGGATCTGGAGGGGGTGCTGAGGTGCTACGCCTACAGCAACCCAGCTACGTGGAGTCAGCGACTGGCGTGGGCGGAGTTCGCCCACAACACCCTTCTCTGCTCGTCCACCGGCCTTTCCCCCTTCCAGTGCCAATACGGGTACCAACCCCCCCTATTCCCCGAGTAAGAGGAGGAGGTGGCGGTCACGTCTATCCAGGCCCACATCAGTCGCTGTCACCGCACCTGGAGGCAGGTAAGGGCGATGCTTAAGCGGGCCTCGTTCAGGTCTCAACATCAGGCCAACCGCAGGTGTCGCCTGGCCCTGGTTTTTCGCCCGGGACAGAGGGTGTGGCTCTCCACGCAGGAAGCTGTCCCCCCGGTTCGTCGGGCCATTCAGAGTGGTCCGGCGAGTCAACCCAGTGGCCTACCGCCTGCTCCCCACCATGCGGGTGCATTCCACATTCCATGTGTTCCTCCTCAAGCCCATCGCCACCTTTCCCCTGGCTCCCCCTCCTCATCCTGTTCCCCTGCTGCGCCTCGCCGGCTTTTACTGTGGACCGGATCCTGGACTGCCGGCGGGTGGGGAGGGGTCTCCAATTTCTGGTGGACTGGGAGGGTTATGGGCCGGAGGAGTGGTCCTGGGTGCCCAGGAGGGACATTCTGGACCCAGGGCTGATAACAACATTCCGTCGCCTCCACTCGGAGGCGCCGAGGTGAACGGCTGGGTCCGTTCGTCGGGGGGGTGGGGCACTGTTACAGGAGGGGGTCGCAGTTCCGGAGCGACCCACTAGGTGTCATCCTCCGACAACCTTAGGCACCTCCTCACTCACAGTCTGGACTAATCAGTATCCTATTGGTGACACCTGTGTCTACCTGTTCACCTGTGTATTTATGCCCTCACTTCCCTGTGTTCCATTGCTCAGTTTTCTGTGTTAATTTGTCTATGTCCAGCAGTACTACTCAGTGTACGATCGGAGACCTATGTACAGATACTTGAGAAGTGTTCTCCCCGTTTCGTTATTTGTTTCAGTCGTAGGTACTATTTCGTATTTGGGCTGTCAGCCGGGTTTTTTTTAGATTATTTGCTTCGCCTTTATTTTATCGTGATAAGTGGGATATTTGCCCATTAATCAAGGCAAAACTGCTCCAGCTCCTTCAAGTTGGATGGGTTCCGCTGGTGTACAGCAATCTTTAAGTCATACCACAGATTCTCAATTGGATTGAGGTCTGGGGTTTGACTCGGCCATTCAAAGACATTTAAATGTTTCCCCTTAAACCACTCAAGTGTTGCTTTAGCAGTATGCTTAGGGTCATTGTCCTGCTGGAAGGTGAACCTCCGTCCCAGTCTCAAATCTCTGGAAGACTGAAACAGGTTTCCTCAAGAATTTCCCTGTATTTAGCGCCATCCATCATTCCTTCAATTCTGACCAGTTTCCCAGTCCCTGCCGATGAAAAACATCCCCACAGCATGATGCTGCCACCATGCTTCACTGTGGGGATGGTGTTCTCGGGGTGATGATAGGTGATGAGTTTGCGCCAGACATATCGTTTTCTTTGATGGCCAAAAAGCTCAATTTTAGTCTCATCTGACCAGAGTACCTTCTTCCATATGTTTGGGGAGTCTCCCACATGGCTTTTGGCGAACACCAAACGTGTTTGCTTATTTTTTTCTTTAAGCAATGACTTTTTTTCTGGCCACTCATCCGTAAAGCCCAGCTCTGTGGAGTGTACGGCTTAAAGTCGTCCTATGGACAGATACTCCAATCTCCGCTGTGGAGCTTTGCAGCTCCTTCAGGGTTATGTTTGGTCTCTTTGTTGCCTCTGATTAAGGCTATTAAGCTATTAGCAGGTAGCTTAGTGGTTAAGAGCGTTGTGCCAGTAACCGAAAGATCGCAGGTTCTAATCCCCGAGCCGACTAGGTGAAAGATCTGTCGATTTGCCCTTGAGCAAGGCACTTAGCCCTAATTGCTCATGTAAGTCGCTCTGGATAAGAGCGTCTGCTAAATGACTAAAATCTAAATCCTCCTTGCCTGGTCCGTGAGTTTTGGTGGTGCTCCGTGGGATGTTCAAAGTTTTGGATATTTTTTTATAACCCAACCCTGATCTGTACTTCTCCACAACTTTGTCCCTGACCTGTTTGGAGAGCTCCTTTGTCTTCATGGTGCCGCTTGCTTGGTGGTGCCCCTTACTTAGTGGTGTTGCAGACTCTGGGGCCTTTCAGAACAGGTGTATACAGTTGAAGTCGGAAATTTTTCATACACTAAGGTTGGAGTCATTAAAACTCGTTTTTCAACCACTCCACAAATTTCTTGCTAACAAACTATAGTATTGGCAAGTCGGTTAGGACTCTACTTTGTGCATGACACAAGTAATTTTTCCAACAATTGTTTACAGACAGATTATTTCACTTATAATTCACTGTATCACAATTCCAGAGGGTCAGATGTTTACATACACTAAGTTGAATGTGCCTTTAAACAGCTTGGAAAATTCCAGAAAATTATGTCATGGCTTTAGAAGGTTCTGATAGGCTAATTGACATCATTTGAGTCAATTGCAGGTGTACCTGTGGATGTATTTCAAGGCCTACCTTCAAACTCAGTGCCTCTTTGCTTGACATCATGGGAAAAATCAAAAGAAATCAGCCAAGACCTCAGAAAAACAATTGTAGACCTCCACAAGTCTGGTTCATCCTTGGGAGCAATTTCCAAACGGCTGAAGGTACCACGTTCATCTGTACAAACAATAGTACGCAAGTATAAACACCATGGGACCACGCAGCCGTCATACCGCTCAGGAAGGAGACGCGTTCTGTCTCCTAGAGATTAACGTACTTTGGTGCGGAAAGTGCAAATCAATCCCAGAACAGCAGCAAAGGACCTTGTGAAGATGCTGGAGGAAACGGGTACAAAAGTATCTATATCCACAGTTAAACAAGTCCTATATCGACATAACCTGAAAGGCCTCTCAGCAAGGAAGAAGCCACTGCTCCAAAACCGCCATAAAAAAGCCAGACTACGGTTTGCAACTGCACATGGGGGACAAAGATCGTACTTTTTGGAGAAATGTCCTCTGGTCTGATAAAACAAAAATAGAACTGTTTGGCCATAATGACCATCGTTATGTTTGGAGGAAAAAGGGGGACTCTTGCAAGCTGAAGAACACCATCCCAACCGTGAAGCACGGGGTGGCAGCATCATGCTGTGGGGGTGCTTTGCTGCAGGAGGGACTGGTGCACTTCACAAAATAGATGGCATCATGAGGAAGGAAAATTAAGTGGATATATTGAAGCAACATCTCAAGACATCAGTCAGGAAGTTAAAGCTTGGTGGCAAATGGGTCTTCCAAATGGACTATAACCCCAAACATACTCCCAAAGTTGTGGTAAAATGGCTTAAGGACAACAAAGTCAAGGTATTGGAGTGGCCATCACAAAGCCCTGACCTCAATCCTATAGAAAATGTGTGGGCAGAACTGAAAAAGCGTGTGTGAGCAAGGAGGCGTACAAACCTGACTCAGTTACACCAGCTCTGTCAGGAGGAATGGGCCAAAATTCACCCAACTTATTGTGGGAAGCTTGTGGAAGGCTACCTGAAATGTTTGACCCAATAAAGTGGTGATCCTAACTGACCAAAGACAGGGAGTTTTTACTAGGATTAAATATCAGGAATTGTGAAAAACGGAGTTTAAATGTATTTGGCTAAGGTGTATGTAAACGTCCGACTTCAACTGTATATACTGAGATCATGTGACAGATCATGTGACACTTAGATTGCACACAGGTGGACTTTATTTAACTAATTATGTGACTTCTGAAGGTAATTGGTTGCACCAGATCTTATTTAGGGGCTTCATAGCAAAGGGGGTGAATACATATGCACGCACCACTTTTCTGTTATTTATTTTTTTCATTTCACTTCACCAATTTGGACTATTTTTTGTATGTCCATTACATGAAATACAAACAAAACCCTATTTAAATTACAGGTTGTAATGCAACAAAATAGGAAAAACGCCAAGGGGGATGAATACTTTTGCAAGGCACTGTAGTAGCCTAAACCTATCGCTGTTACATTGAGCTGTGTGAAGGGAAAATTAATGACAGTCATCCAATATGCTGTAATAGAAATAAGGCCCATAAAAAAAGAATCGTCCTCCCTCACCTTAAACGGCACCGACCGCCACTGCGTCACATATTCTTTCAGTTCTCCTTACATTTTAAATCTGATGTGTCACACCACGGAAGGTAGCAGCTGAAGAGCAGAGGCAGTAAGTGTTTTCACTTTATTTCTGAAAATACTTCCTGTTTTTAACATTTGCTACTCAGATGTTCCATACAATTAGGGACAGCACAATACCGTGGCTGCTTACCAGTCAGAGACATCTGTAGCTAACTTGTAAACCTTGTATTAGTCGACAGACTGAAGGAAACATAATATATTCTAAAAACAGAGGTAGGGATATTCTCAGCACCTGTCCTGTGTTTTATACTATTTTATGTTTTATGTGACCTGGCAAGAGAATCTGAGTATTTATCTATATTTCGAGCCTGATAATCTATGTCATGGTAACATAATACTTTGGGGTAGTTTACTGGAACCAGATGAATACTAGTCCTGGAATAAAATCTGTGGACATACACAATTGAAAGTGCTAGTTGGTGTGGTTTGCTGCTATGTTGTATTGAGATAATATGCACTGTTGTGTAGTGGTTGTCATGTTGGGAGAAGCCTTCATCAGAGTCTTCAGGTATAGGAAAGAGGATTGTGATTGTGATTCCACAAAGGCCCAGGAACGTCCACCACACCCTGCTCCCAATATCATTCTGAACCCAGGTTCAATGTTAGGTAAGCATTTTGGATTTGTTCGAAATACTGCATGTCTTCCTGGATCAGTTGGCTATGCTGCATTTTAGAAGATTTGAGATTAAGTGCATCCAGGCATGAGTACGATGTTTAATAATTTCATTCATTTTTGATTGAATACGTCAAATTAAAAAATGTGCTTCTGGTGTGTGGGCTGCACAGGAAACATGGAAGGCCTGGTGCAGTCTGGTCCTAGAGCGACAACTAGGCCCAGTGATGCCCTCACCATCCCCAATAGCCACAGTGACGACTATGGTGACCTGGAGCTCTATCGCTCCTGGTGCTGCACCACCTTCTGCAAAGACTACCCCGACCTGCAGCTCAGAGGAGACCATGTGGGAAACAGGAGCTCAAAGAGCCTGCGGCTGGAGAGTGAGGTGTTCCAAGGGCCACTTCTTCAATCTCAGGACCTGGGAGAGCTGGAGTCCTTGGAACCCACAGGGCCTGTGGAGCCTGGGGTGCGGGTGGAGTCCCAGCCCCTGCAGGATGAGGGTTACCTGGTCATAGACAGCAGCATCATCACCCTGAACAGGGAGCCTCTGTCCAACTCCATGCTGAACAGCTACCTGGAGAGTAAGCTGCTGGAGGTGTACAGACAGCACATGCAGGACAGCCTGGCCCGGGGCAGCTCTCCCCTGGTCCAGACCCCTCCCCAGGGCCTGGTACCAGCACCAGTGAAGCAGCTCAGCCAGTATCTCTGTCAGGACCACGGCCTAGACTCCAGTACGGCCCAGAGCATCGTCATCCACTACCTTAGCACCTGCACCGTGGCCAGCTCCAACTTCAGCTCTCCCGACCTGCGCATCTCCAACCTACGCATCCCCAACCCTGAGCCCAGGAGGAAGCCCACCTGACTGAAACCAGCAGTATTTCCACTTTGTCTGCCGACTCTAACGTACTTGACAATGCTAAAGCATTCCACTGAATCTATACTTGATGGTCAGTTGTATTGCATTCAAGGGGTAACTTCAATTGATATTTGGGAAGGAGATCCCATTATTTTGTTGAATTGTTGGAAGAAATATCTTTAGAAAATGCCACAATGTCCAAAATATTTACTACATAAATGCAACCAGTTGCTATAATGTAATGCTTGGGAGCCTGAGACAATGTCAAGCTTTCAAGTTTAAAGACAAAGAGTATAAAAACAGGGAACTGTGAGCTGACGTTGTAAAGAATCTTGTTTCTGAGAAAGGATTCCTCACAGATATTGCGGATCTGAAATTATATAGTTTTAAACACAGACTTACAAAACCGTAAAGAAAAAATGCAATTTTGCTATCTTGGGTGTCGAAGCTGGAAGTTATTGCCACCTGCTGTCATACATAAGCATTGCATGTTTACTGGAAGTGTCACATTGCATTTTGACAAGAAAGCATATTACACAACATCTGTGCCAGATCAACATATCACGCTGTGCCAAAGTTCTAATGCGGTTTAATCTTGAATGCAACTGACTGAATAAAAAATAAACATTAATATGCTAAAGAACTGAGTTATTGCCGTCATGTCTTGTGGAGAATAAACTGTATTGGCCATTGGAATGGGGGTTGCAATTGACTATAATATACACTTACTGGTTTAGCCATGGTGGGTTGATATTTTGCCTGAGTGAGCCTCTTGATCTTAATTTGTAAAATATCCATCTGGATCACTGGCATGACTTGTGGATAGGTTAATTTCAGAATTCAAAGCAGGGACGTATGGCTGGAAGGGTTTACGTGAGTGTGACTATGTGATAGCATGTTCTAGATATGCATGCATTTTTCTTTCAGTTGGGTGCATCTAATGTGAAAACCAGTATTGAGCGACATTAAGCACATGTTTAGTCTAGGGGTAGGCTATGATGGACCATCTGGGCATTGCTAGTGATCATAGTGGCATGCTGCTTGGGAACTAGACCGAGAGGATTAACAGTAAACCAGTGTGTGTCGGGAGTGAGTGCCAATGCCACCAATTCACACCCTGTCGGGAGCCACTGGGTCATACAGCAGCCATGCCAAGGACTATTAGCATGGCATTGTTAGAGCAGCAGAGGAGAGGGTAAGGGTTATGGAGAGTGGTGGCCATGTGTGTGTGAGTGTGTGAGTGTGTCTGTGCGTGTGCGCACGTGTGTGACTATTCCCATACCTCTGATCATTTTCCAGAACAAAATGTTGAGGTTTCTGCCATTTTACACCATAAAGTGAAACCTATGGGGAGACTTGAATAAAGATACAAGAAATGGCCAGATCTTCAAATAGTCAGTAATAGGCTTAGCAGGTACAGTATTAGGTAAATATGTGTCATCATGCTGCCCAGCACAGCAAGGACTGAATTATTAACCATATCATGGTGGGACTCACAGACTCATACAGTGTGCACACACACCATAAATAGTTGATTATAGCTGTAATAGTTAGTATGACTATAGCTCAATAAGTATGTACTACATTTCCTCTCCATATAATAAAGCATGGGGACATCAGAAATAAGTGATTAGCACACATCCCACCATTTGTCACGATGTGGTTTTACAGTAACTGAGATATTTTGTAACTAACTGAAAAAAACCACTTGGACAAACAATTGTGTCTTTCATGTTTTGTTTTAGAATTATTACTTCAATTTAGAATCATTACCTGAAATTGCAGGGTGGCCCAGTTTTATATGGTTTCCCCCCATACTATATCCATACAAGCTAGATGCAAGCAAGCATCACTAGGTTTCTATTGGTTAAAACACAATGGATTCGTTTCGGTTCCAACTCATATGGGCTGGAAATGACGTCTGTTAAGGGGGTGAACATATTTCTGATAATAAAGGTATTATAATTGTTGATATTATATTTAACAGAAATGTCCAATCGAAATATAATGCCTCACGCTCAGCTGCCAATGCTTCTCTATAAAGGCGTCGGGTAATTATGTATTATTGCACCATTCCTTCCGTCTCTGGAACGAAGCATGTGATGCTGCGGTGTGCAGGGGAGGGAGGGGTTGCAAGACTTTCTCACTCATAGAGACTCCCTTCTCTATACAGTGGTCGGCAGGTACTGTTGTGTGTGAGAGAGAGAGAGAGAGAGAGAGTGAGAGAGGGAGATGGGCGGGGGAGTCGTTTCTGTGAGCGCGTGGACTGCACCATCGCATTCCTTACCCAGGATACTGTCACCAGCCATGCCTTTACCCAGTAAGGTGCACCTATGCTATGTGTTCTCTTGTATACCGATGCAACATTTCTGATTTGTAACACGATTTTCAAGCTCTATCAAGTCCTCGTTTGAAGGATTTAAAGACATCGATGATGGCTCTGGTGATGGAACCTATAAGCAAATGGACACCCAAGCAAGTACTGGATTGGATGAAAGGTAATGATTATACAACATGTTTATTTTAATTTGCTTGACAGAATACATTTGGAAACGACTAACATGGATATGTGTACATCTTTTCTCTTTCTCCAAATTAATGGTTCAATGGAGTTGTTTTGAGCTAAAACGGTGCTATTCCTTGCATTGAAATATTGAACGTGTGCCATTTTGTGTATCAGACCCTGATGGAAGCGCTATTTAGTGTAATTATCACCCTGGCCTGATAGGCTACGCATTTGTAGACCACCAACTAGATACTGAGACCAACGCATTACATGTAAAGGGGTTCAACAATCAGTTGACCTATATAATGTTCACATTTAGATTACCTCATACCATAAAGACTGGTGCTCTCTCTCTCTCTCTCTCTCTCTCTCTCTCTTTCTTTCTCTCTTTCTTTCTCTCTCTCTCTCTCTCTCTCTCTCTCTCTCTCTCTCTCTCTCTCTCTTTCAAACACACACACACACACACACACACACACACACACACACACACACACACACACACACAGGTTGAAGAAGTGTTGGCAACAATTGAGGCGTTTGCAAAACTAGCACCATGGACAGCGAACCTACTTAATTTGAAATGGTGTTGACCTAGACAATGATTCACATTACTACATTGATACTACAATTCAGCATTGTGGATAGGGATAGGGAACATATTGTAGGTTGCAAGCTAATTGAACTGTACAGCAGCTTTTGAAACACAATAGTCAATTTCATCTTTTAGATATGCTGTTACACTGAACTCAAAATGGTTGGTGTTATGATGTGCGGTATGTTTTAAAGATGCCTTATGTTCAAGAGTATTAGTGCTATTTCTTCACTATCTGCCATAACATTCATATTTCTATGAGAGAAAACATACTTACCTATAGTTGTTTTTATTATTGTGTTGGCCAACAGTACAGCTGACGTGAAATAACCCTTAGGTAAGACCAAAATGACAAAACGATTGTTGCGCTACATTACCTGCCATAAACAAATTGTGGGCACCGTTACTTTAGTAGTGGCAGACTTCTGTCATTCTGAAGGCGAGACGCTGATTGACAACAAATCCTTTATTTTCATTTAGCAACTGAAACGCTAGCATGAGGAGCTGAATGCTTAAATAATGTTCAAAAGAAAGACCTATTAGTACTGTAACATCCAAGCACAAGTTTAATAACTTTCTCTCTCACCAGGGCACAGGGATTTATTTTAGGTCTACTATCGTCCAACTAAAGAAGCTGTTATGTGTCAACACAGACATGGTTTATGTTTTCCCACGTACTGTACACAATAGTTTTTGCCAGGCAAGTGTCAGTCCAGAAGTGCACAGCCGTGCTTGCCTCTGGCGCTGCTGTCACAGATGTGTCTCCAGCCTTCGCACCAAGGGCAGGGCGCCTACGGCACAACTTCTGTGCAGCTGATACACAACACAACTAGAAACTTTAGTTCACTCTCAAATTCTCCACCCAAAACACCATGGGAAGGAAGTGCATAGGCAAGTGACATCTATGTCATCTGTTGTCATATTAAATTCTGTAGGCCGCCAACAGATGAAGCCAATACACAGCAAAAGCTTGTCAGTCTATAAAACTGGTAGAATACAACTGACATAAATAATTGAGCTGGTCTAATCACTAACCTAAGGACATTTGAGACAGAGGATGCTGATATGAAAGTTGAGACAGAGGATGCTGATATGAAAGTTGAGACAGAGGATGCTGATATGAAAGTTGAGACAGAGGATGCTGATATGAAAGTTGAGAAATGTCTTTGTGCTACCACAGCTGTAAAGAATATTCACATCCTTTTCACACTGTATACTATATGCTATTGGATGCTTTGGCTCCCTTCTTCTTGAGGGTTTTTTGAGAGGTGGCCAGTGGACACAGTTGTAAAGTAAAAGGGGAACTTCACTCAATAGAGACTGCTTCTTACCTGATTTTTCTAAAGGAAAGATCATTAGGGCAATAGAGATCCTATAATTGTGATTATGTAATTTTATGATTAGGGGTTTGCACTTCTTGTTACAAAGAACAAAGTCTAAATATTAGACATTACAGCACACAATCACGGCACACACACACACCAATTGAGGCGTTCAAGAAGAACTAGCACCATGGACAGCGAACCTGGATTGGTAATACTGCCTTACATTGATACTACGTTCCAACATTGTGGCTCGAGGTAGAGCAGTCAGCAAGCTAGTTGAACTGTACTGCATCTATTTCATAACCACTATTTGCTGTGTATGAGAGTAGGTTCAATGCCCATGAGAGTAAGAGGGAGGGACTGACCTGTTTTTGAGGGCATTGAGGGCTCTGGATTATTCCCTTGGGTAAAATGTAATTTAGAATGAATATTAGACACCTGTCTTATTTCATTTTGTGATAGGTCTGAGGGCAATAATGAAGTACTGCTGATAATTCACTTCTTCAAGGGGCTTACCTCTTGGTCACCTGGCAACTGTTGCCATGGAGCCTTGATAGCTAGAGGAAGGCAACAGAATTGAAATCCCACAAGCAGCAAGCTCTCTAATGAAAGCAGCCATTCATGATCATTAGATGGATGCATGAACGTGTGCGCACACACATGCACATGCACACACAAACGCCACACACACACACACACACACACACTTGCGCAATCATGCTTTCACAAATGTCACTCCCACGAACATAGGCTACGGGCCTGTCTCAAGGCCACAGACCTATCTCAAGGCCACGGACCTGTCTGTGTGCTCAAAGAAACAGAGGTCTGGGCAGCAGCACATAACACGGCAAGACAAGTGTTTGCCACATACAAATGGGGAACTTAGTTTAGATGATTCACCTGACTATGCACAGACTATACAGAGCCATCTACATACAGCATATGATTTGATTGTACCATCCTTTGATCTACGTAGGCTAATTTGTCCCCTGCTGAATGCCTGTGTCCATGGATGTGTGTTTGCTGTGCTGTGGTGTTGACATGGCCCAGCCAGTGTGTGTAATGTGGGTCAGCTCTGTGCTGTGGCTGTGGCCCGCTCCGCTCTGCTCTGTGGCTGGAGATGACTCATCTCCCGGGAGCCATGGATGGATGCTGTGGTTGAAAGCCGAGACTCTGCTAGTCTGCTCTGCTGCTATCTGGGCTCCTCTCTCTCTGTGTCTCTCTCTCTGTGCCGCCTGGACCGCTTGACATGGCTCCAACACAGAATGCTGCAGAGGACTCTATGTGTCTGTGTGGCTCTGCTGTGCTCTGATAAGGATGGCTTTAATACGCTGTGGTGAGAGCAGTTGATCTCCTAGACTAGTCCCGTTTCTCTCTGCCCCCATTCTGTTCTGCTCTGCTCTGCTCTGCTCTGTTTTACACAAAGAGCAGCTCAACTGGTAGACTGGTTCTGCACAGTTCTCTGGAGTTGAAAGAAAAGTATGTTGTCTCTGCTCAGAGGGTAAGAGCACACTCAGGACTTGGAACATGTTTATGGTTGGAAGCATGCTCCTGGTATTATGTAGGAACTAACAAAGTGACTGAAATGGAAAATTAGTTTTTAGTAGCCCGGTAGGGGTTTGATATGCATCTTTTTTTTTTTTACAGCAATTACTCTGAATCTGCCAGTCACACTGCATGTTATACAGCTCTGTCATATTTATGCTTTTGAATGGTATATTTCAAACTGTAATACTTCTAAATAATCCAGCACAATCCACATCCTATACACCTAGTAAATGACTTGGATGTTGACAGTAAAGGGGACAAAGACATACTATTAGAACAAAGGTGTGCCTAACATAGTTCCCCCCTCATGCTCTCTTGTCTGTCCCCCATGCAGGCCTGGATGACTGTCTGCAGCAGTACATTAAGAACTTTGAGCGGGAGAAGATCAACGGGGAGCAACTGCTCCACATCACTCATCAGGAGCTGGAGGAGCTGGGGGTCACCCGCATCGGACACCAGGAGCTCATCCTGGAGGCTGTGGACCTACTCTGTGCTCTGGTGAGTAGTCAATCTAGACATAAAGAGTTGGAGTCAGGAAGGATGGTCAGGAGATATGGCTGTAGAGTTAGAGCTCTGGTGCACGGACATGATGGAACAACTTTACTATTGATGACTTCCAGTGCAACCAAGTCAGTGCAGTCAAGGTGCTCGAACTGGAGGAACACAGTAGACGTGCAGGAGATGTCCAGCTAGTCTAGTTGCCAGATCTGTTTGTGCACCGTTTGACAGGCAAGGCATGACAGACAAGATTGAAGACCATAGAAGTTCAGTAAAAAGTGTCCCTTTATTATAAAAAACAACAACATGTGTTTCATCTACTGTCATCATCAGTGTTATTTGCTGAGTAGGGGAGGGTCAGGTGCAGTGCTCAGTACACAGGGCTAAAAAGGCTAGGACCAGAGGCTAATTCCAGAGTCGCGGCAATGATTTGTGTCTGTTGGAGCTAAAGGCTAATTTAGATTAATTGGTGATATATCCTTGTAGGGGCAGATAGAGGTGGAGCTGGAGGAGCCTGTGCTGTGTACATCAGTAAGGGTGGCATGAAGTGGGTGTCGTTAGCCTTGGTGTATGATGAGTCATGCAGAGAGAGTCAGGCGTGGGCATGGGAAGAGCCCTGTTAGAGCAAGCTAAGAGCTGTGTATTGATTTGACTGAATCAGAGAGGGGCCACACAGCACACGTCCTCGCTGATGGGCTGGTAATGGATCCATAGGCCTAGAAAGCAGCAGCTGGAAGGGAGTGTGTGTGTGAGGCTGCCTGTGTATGCGGCGTGTGTGGAGCTAACTGAGGTTAGTGTATGATTCGCTGTGACAGAGCGGCCCGCAGCAGAGCATCATTAGAGGCTTGGGAAACGTGCCTGGACTGCCTGAAATCCTGTCTGGCCAACATCTCCACACCCACACACATGTAATCTGTGTCTGTTAGTTAGACAGTCCGGTGGAGGCTGCCTGGGTGTGTGTATGTCAGAATGTGTGTGTGTGTGTGAATGTTGAGCAGACTGGATCGTTCACATAAGGGGCTATAATATAGGTGTGCGACTGTGTGAGTGTGTGTGTTTGACTGTGTGAACGTGTGTGTGTGCATATGCATTAACACAGTATAGTGTGTGTTCTGCATCTCATCGCCAGCATGGTGATGTGCTGTGATTCTCATGTCCCCATTGATCCTGGCAGAGTGCACTAGAGCTGAACATTGCGTCACTGCTGAGAGGAGACTGACATGAGTAATGAATGCACTGGGGGAGAGCTGCAGGTTGAGGGGCCGGGAGGGACAGTACATGCACACGCACGTGCACACACACACACACACACACACACACACACACACACACACACACACACACACACACACACACACACACACACACACACAGCCCTATCACATGGCCCGTCCAAAATGGATGTCAGCTGAATAGATGTCAGTCTCTCTGCTCTGCTTGTGAAAGACAAGCTTCTCAACAGAGACATTTTAGGATTTAATTTCTCCTTCGTGGGTTGATTATGTGAGTGTGATGGATTGAAAGAAAATGCTGGCTTAGTGTCAGTGTGACTGCTGACTCACTTTGACATCAAACTGAGGGTTGCTTGTTGCTGGGAGTTAGATAATTGTTCATCAGTTGGCAGTGACCAGACAGACAGACAGACAGACAGACAGGGCTCTGGTGCTGAGTTGTTGATGCAACAGGGGTTTTACTCTCACTACATTACAGCCATCAGAGGAAAGTGTCCTCTCCATGCAGTGAAGCCTCTCTCTGCCTGAATGGCTCACTGGAAGGAAGGTAGCAGGGAAATGGCTGAGCTGGTCAGTACTCACCACCACCTAGCAGCATAATGGTGTGTTTCCTCTACAGTGGGTTGACTTATTATAGTGTTGCTTAGCATATTTCTATGAATGTAAAGCATATTTAATTCTCCCCCTCCTTTTGTCTCGTCATCCTCTGCATTGACATATATAACCGACTAGTGATGGAGAAGCCCCGTAAAGGCTATCAGACAGCAGCGCATTACTTTGATATTTTTAATGAAGCAAGAGGAAAATCAATAAGGGAAGAAGGAGCTATGGAAACACTGGGCTCGGTGTAATTAAGAGTGACAAAGCCAGGAGTCACCATGGCAACCGGGCTGGCTAAGCTACATAGTCGTGAGTTAGACAGGAAGGAGGCATTTCTCCATGGTGACAGCGATGACTGCTAACAAGACCCGCAGAATGAGAGACAGCTATTCACACACAGGCACACATCTCCAACAGACACACCATTGTGACAAGCTACGTACACACACACAACATACATTTCGGTTAGAGTGGAATACTGCATGTTGCTCTGTACACTTTAACGAAAGTGTAGCAGATGAGTGGTCTTTATTGTGTCTCTGATGAGGCAATCATCCCTTTATATTTACTTGAATAACTTGATCAAAAAGATACAGCTCAGTCAACCTGGTTTGGTTGATAAATGAAGAGGCAAAGATGAGATTTTCTTTACTGGAGGGACTTTGTCTCTATTTATCTATTTGGATCTTATATCCACTATACATTTGCTGTAGCACTGTTTTGTATGAGCTTTCAAATACAAGGACCGCACTGGACACAGACGTCAATTCAACGTCTAATCCACGTTGGTTCAATGTAATTTCATTGAAATTACGTGGAAACAACGCTGATTCAACGTTGACTCGCACCACACTGTGCATGCAAGTTACTGTTATTTCTCCATGTTAACTAAATGTATCCACATTTTCTAGATGAATGACATCTTAACTTTAAAGTTAAACACTTCTGGACCATGAGGGTATTGTACTTTTTGTTCCAGAACTATGGACTGGAGACTGAGAACCTGCGTACCCTATCCCACAAGCTCAATGCCTCAGCAAAGAACCTGCAAAACTTCATCACAGGGAGGCGTCGAGGCGGCCATTATGACGGCAGGGCCTCCCGCAGGCTGCCCAACGACTTCCTCACCTCCGTGGTGGACCTCATCGGAGCAGCCAAGAACCTGCTGGCCTGGCTGGACAGGTGGGTGTTACACCTCGGCCCTGGGGGGGGTGGAGGCTTATGCACCAGAACATCCCAGTTTTGTTAGACTTACAGCGAAACTACACTGACACCGTGACGAGAGCGTACCGTCATACCTCCGCAAAGTGGTTTTCAGGGTGCTGCACTGGGAGCGTGACGAAATGCGTGGCTACAAACGTAATTTTTGTGGGGGCTTTATTTCATAACGGTATGCTATCTGAAATACATTTTGGCCACACGTCATAATGCGAGGATATTCTTGCAACCTCAGCAACACGTTTTTTAATACAAGCCTAAAATGTGATACCAAACCTTTCAATGTGTGCAGGGTGTTTTTTTTGGCTATTTTTGTATTTAGGATTATTAGCTAGGTTTCCATCCAATTGGCGACAGAGTTTCATGCGAAAATTCTAAAATCTGCATAAAAACAATATGCGCATTTTCCCACCAGAGATGTGTTTCCATGAAATTGACTTGTTGCAGCTAAAAGGCTGTGCGTGATGAGTCACTCAGCAGGAGGGGAGGGCCGAGCCGGCCGGGAGGAAAGGGGACAGTGCGAGTCATAGGATGCGGAAAGGGAGGAGAGTAGGGTTGAAGAGGAAGAATCAGGAGATAGGAGGGAGAAGGATTTAGCAGAAGGGAGAGATGATAGAATAGAAGAGGAGAGAGCAGTGGGGGAGAGAGAGCGAAGATTGCGACAGCGCATGACCATCTGGTTAGGGGCTGAGTGGATAGGGTTGGAGGAAAGGGAGACAGAAAAGGGAACAAAGTAGTGATCAGAGACCTGGAGGGGGATTGCAGTGGATTAGTAGACAAACAGCCTCTAGTAAAGATGAGGTCAAGTGTATTGCCTGCCTTGTGAGTGGGAGGGAACTGGGAAAGGGTGAGATCAAAAGAGGCAAGGAGTGGAAGAAAGAGTTGGAAAGAGATGAATCGAAGGTAGACGTCAGGAGGTTGAAGTTACCCAGTACGAAGAGTGGTGAGCCATCGTCAGGAAATGAGCTTATCAAGGTGTCAAGCTCATTAAGGAACTCTCTAAGGGCACCTGGTGGGCGATAGATGATAACAATGTTATGCTTGAGTGGACAAGTGACAGTGACAGCATGGAATTCAAATGAGGAGATGGATAGGTGAGTGAGGGAAAAATAGAACATCTCGATTTAGGAGAAATGAGCAGCCCTGTTCCACCACCGCGACGACCAGATGCTCTCGGACTATGAGAGAAAACGTAGTCAGATGAAGCTGCTGGAGTAGCAGTGTTCTCTGGGGTGATCCATGTCTCCGTCAGGACCAGAAATTCTAGGGACTGAAGGGCAGCATAGACTGAGATGAACTCTGTGTTCTTGACCGCAGATCGGCAGTTACAAACGCTGCCAGAGACCAGTAATTCCACGTTGGGTTGTGCTTGCAAGGTACACTAAATTAGAAGGGTTGCAACCAAGAGGTGGGGAGCGTCTATAAAGCCTACAAGGAGAGGAGCGAACTGGGATAGAAAACACACACATAGTTGGCAAAGCTACAAAATAGCAAAATGAGATCATCTGAAAATAACTAGATAAGATAATCAAGTGAGAGAGTGGTGTTGAGCCTTGCTCTCTATCTTTCCTCTAATAACTCGGCAGAACCATCTTTGTTTCGGCGACAGTCTTTGTTTCGGCGACAGGCTTTGTCGGCGATGGACTTTGTCGGCGCCGCTGAGAAAACAGGGAATACTGAAGTACTAACAGTAATTGCTAATTGCTTTGCAGAGGTGTAGAGCACACCTCCCGGTACTAATTGCTGATTGCCTAGGAGTGGAGAAACAACACCCCCTCCAATATAGCCACTGATTATGAAAACCACAACAGTCACACATTTCCCTGCCCCTTAATTCTGGTTGATGTGTTAACAATCATCTGCAAGTTATGAGCAGTCAGCAGTTCAGACACCAAGTAGGCTACTGGGAAGACAGGCAGCACTTAAAGTAGATGGCCGTAGCTAGCAAAAAGACAGTACTAGACAACACAGATTAAGACAAAATTATACTTATCACTCCTGGAGATATCAGGAGTCCTCTAGCTATAGAATGAAGCACGCAAGGTCCAACCGAAATTTGACTTGGCCTTGTAACCCAACCCCTCCGAAAGACAGACATACATACACATACAGTTTTATTCTGGAGAGGTGTGGGTGACCGGGGAGCTGTTGTTGTGGGGGGGGGGGGGGGGTAAGTGCCTTGCTCAAGGGCACAACAGCAGGCAATGGCATCTAGGATTTGATACCAGCAATGATGGTTATAATATCAATATTTGCGCATAAAAGTGTTTCCACAGCCATTTCTCGCAAAATGAATTTTACAGACAAAAAAAGATCCCACCTTGTCTAGCGTATTTAGTTTGAGAAAAGTCTCTCGTCTTGTCACAGATAGAATAATGAGCGTTATGTTTCACCGGATGTATAAATCTGAAGCATCTGGTTGGCATTTCCACTCACCACCAAATATGGTGATGAGAGGAAGCCTAGTGACCGGCAGTGGGAGAAGATGGAGCGAGATGGATTTTGGCCGACGTTCTGCTAATTTTCTCATCTATGAAACATTTGATCTCAATACAGTTTTCTGTTCCAAATACTAGAATCTGTTACGAACTGAGTATTGCACACGCGCACTTTACAGAACGGAAAATATGCAAATACATGCTAGAACGCGCCAAAAGGATCTCACTAGCTTGTGCTTGCTTCTGCTAACCTCCTTGCTTGTTTTGCCCACTATTAATTTGCTCCCATTGGAAACGACAGGCTGTGGTCTATCTTGGGTTAGTTATACAAATCTTTGGTCTTGTTGTCTTTCCTTGCTAGCGAGTTGGCTAAACACTGCAAGCTAGCTAGCCTTTGTGAAATAATCTTATTTATAATTAAATAATATGCCCAGGCAAATACTTATACTTGCAGTTGTAACGTACAACATTATCCCAATTTGATAAGCTGCTTCAACGTATTCGCTTCCATATCAGCGAAAAATTTCATCATTTTTGGTCACAGAGAAAGAAAAGCACATGGCTATCTGTTTTTATGTTTCCAAATAGTCTAGAATAAAGTTAACACGTCTAAACAAAATACATTTTGGGGGGATTCTAATAAGGCTACAATGTTGTTTGTTTTAATTGTTTGAACAGTCACTGAGATTATATTGATTTATCAATGCAAAATATACTGAACAAAAATATAAACGCAACATGTACATTTTGTGCACAAATCTGTTTACATCCCTGTTAGTGAGCATTTCTCCTTTGCCAAGATAATCCATCCACCTGACAGGTGTGGAATATCAAGAAGCTGATCATTACACAGGTGCACCTTGTGCTGGGGACAATAAAATGCAACTCTAAAATGTGCAGTTTTGTCACACAACACAATGCCACAGATGTCTCAAGTTATGAGGGAGCGTGCAATTGGCATGCTGACTGCAGGAATGTTCACCAGAGCTGTTGCCAGAGAATTGAATGTTCATTTATCTACCATAAGCCGCCTCCAATGTTGTTTTAGAGAATTTGGCAGTATGTCAAACCGGGCTCACAACCGCAGACCTCGTGTAACCATGCCAGCCCCTCCACATTTGGCTTCTTCACCTGCGGGATCGTCTGAGTCCAGCCACCTGAGAAGCTGATGAAACTGTGGGTTTGCACAACCGAAGAAGTTCTGCACAAACTGTCAGAAACTGTCTCAGGGAAGCTCATCTGCATGCTCGTTGTCCTCACCAGGGTCTTGACCTGACTGCAGTTCGGCGTCGTAACTGACTTCAGTGGGCAAATGCTTACCTTCGATGACCACTGGCACGCTGGAGAAGTGTGCTCTTCACAGATTAATCATGGTTTCAACTGTACCGGGTAGATGGCAGACAGCGTGTATGGTGTCGTGTGGGCGAGCGGTTTGCTGATGTCAACGTTGTGAACAGAGTGCCCCATGATGGAGATGTGTCGCGCTGCATGAGGCAAATGGTGGTCACATGAGATACTGACTGGTTTTCTGATCCACGCCCCTACTTAAAAAAAAAAGGTATCTGTGACCAACAGATGCATATCTGTATTCCCAGTCATGTGAAATTCATAGATTAGGGCCTAATGAATTTATTTAAAATGACTGATTTCCTTATATTAACTGTAACTCAGTAAAATCATAGAAATTGTTGCAGGTTGCGTTAAAATGTTTGTTCAGTGAAGGTTATTTTGATGCATAGCCTATAGATCAGATCAAGGATCCAAGCGAGCTTCCTTGCCTACACAACACTGCCCCTATTACGATTTTCATGAGGCACTGGAGTATGTAGAATGTCTAAGCGCACTACAAGGAGCCGCCCCTTTTGTGATGAAAAACGACATTGCGACACTGCACTACGCTCCGTAGGGTCCGTCTCCATAGGTTATAAATAGCCCTTTAGAAAAATAAATAATTGTCTTATAGTTTATATATGGTTCTCTTTCATTGTAAAGTTGTTGGAGAGGGCTTATGCAAAGAGTTGATTTTTTATCTGACTGACTGTTCTGTTCTGTTCTGCCCTCTCCTATCCTCTGACGTCTCTGAACTCTACATATTGTACTTTCTTCCCTCCTGCCAGATCCCCATTTGTCAGTGTGACAGAGTACTCCTTACTAAAGAACAACATTGTTCAACTGTGCCTGGAGTTAACCACCATAGTACAACAGGTGAGTTGTCCAAGGGTAGGAAAAGGTTAGGGAATTGTATTAACTAGATACTATTGCGTCAATATGTCTCTCACAGAACACCTAGCTACATACCTCCATTTTATACTTCTGTTAAAGTTTTGTCAGGAATAGATGAAGGCCTACTGAAAATAACTTCCCTGTTTTAAACACTCTCAATAGACAGTCTGCCAACTACACTAGCGATCTCTTTTTTTAATACTTTCGTTCTCTAACAGTTTTTTAATTGTCTTGCAGGACTGCACAGTGTATGAGACAGAAAACAAGATTCTTCATGTGGTGAGTTTTGAGTCTTTTTTCATGGGGTTTACTGCCCACAAGGACACACAAGGATTCACAAATCTTCCTATCAATCATTAACTGGCCCCATACACAAATCTTATTGGTCACACTTTATTTGGATAGTCCAGATTGTCCATCTGTAGATGCTCTACAGATGGTCATACTATCAACAAGCTATCTGTTGATAAGCAACTGCTTGCTAAGGTTACGGTTAGGGTTAGGTTTAGAATAAGGGTAAGGGTTAAGGTTAGTGCTAGGGTTAGGGTAAGGGTTACGTTTAGGGTTAGTATAAGGGTTAAGGTTAGGGCTAGGGTTAGGATTAGTAGATAGTTAGTTGACATGTTATTGATAGTCTGTAGATAGTCTGTAGAGCATCTACAGATGGACTATCCAAAAAAAGTGTTACCATCTTATTTACAGTCATAAGATAAGCAACAGTAGTCATGACAAAAATGAACAAATGTTTTCAAAATAACAGTGGCATATGAATCATCAAACGTTATGTTGGTCAATGATTTTGAAACACAAATTAATCTTTACATGTTGTTTGTACACTCACACACGCACGCACGCGCGCGCACACACACACACACACACACACACACACACACACACACACACACACACACACACACACACACACACACACACACACACACACACACACACACACACACACACACACACACACACACACACACACACAAAGGCAGACACATTCTCTACTTTATTTAGGGCACATGCCCACACTTGAACATGTGATAATGCAGTCACATGCAGCCTCCTCATCGCCAGGCAGGCAGCACTATGGAAGAAGATGGTTTGGGTTATTAATAAGAGTTTGTGAGTCTGCCTGTGTATTTCTCTAAAGCCACAGTTTTAAGGCCTTTGGTTGGCAGTCTGTGTTGAATAATGCAGAACCTCCCTGCTGCTCCCACGGGCATTCCTGCCTACAACAATTAGACAGGGCGAGAGAGGGAGAAGCTAGGACAAACTATGTACAGGCCAGATGTGTGTTTGTGTCTGTCAGTCTGTGTGTGTGTGTGTGTGTGTGTGTGTGTGTGTGTGTGTGTGTGTGTGTGTGTGTGAGAGAGAGAGCGAGTGAGAGAGAGAGAGACTGGAGACTAAGGGAATAGATGGAAGGTCATGGCTGTGTCACTGTAGCTAGCCAGTTCTGGCCACTGTGCTACTTGTGGCAGTAATAGAAATCAACATACAGTACATTCGACATGACATCTGAAGGACATGACCGTGTCCAGTGCTGCTAATACAGTGCTGCATAGAGCAATAAGAGCCCCTTTACTCCTCAGCTTGTTCAACCAGGGAAGACGAGCCGTAGCGTGCCTTTGAAGAATGCCATGTGTGTCTCAGATGATGAATAAGCCAAAGTATCGCTCATTAAAAAGCGGGTCAGATTCTCAGATAATTGCATGCAGTGCTTCATTCTTGCTGCTCTGAAACGCAAGCAGGAGAAGAAGAAGAAAGTGACTCCATGCGCTCTGTCATTAGGGCTTGGAATTGCCAGGGACCTCACAATACGATATTATCACGACACTTGCGATTCTCACAATTATCACGATTCTCACGATTCTATATGTATTCTGATTCGAAAGTGTGATTTTATTGCGATTTGATGTTCCAAACATATTGCTCTTGGCTGCTGCAGAGAGACAAGAGTGAACATGATAATAGTTTTTTGATCAATCATGGAAATAAAAGTGCTGAAAATATGTTGGCTCACTGTTTAAAAACAAGATGGAGGACAAGCTATAGGATGAAAAATGGTGGAGTTTTGGCGCAGGTACAGCTATCTAGCACTAGCTAACGCTACCTAGCAAAATAAAATAAAAATATGTATATATATTTTTTACAAATCGATACTTGGAGTCAAAGTAGCTAAATAATATTGTCCAAAAATAATATTGCGATATGTAACTGTATTGGTTTTTCCCCCATCACTACTTGTCATTCCCAGTTGGTTCTTTGTCCTACGCCAGCAAAGTGGTACTCTTGAACTCCAGGAAATTATGCAAGATCCCGATGTTCACAATAGACAATGTAGCAGAGAGTTTACTAGTAATACTTTACACTGTGTGGTTTCTCTCCACCATACAGTCATCTGACGAATGAGAGACATTCAGGCAGTAATTCATATCACCCAGTTGACAGTGTGAGCTGTAGCATATTGAATGATCCCGTCCTGTCTTCTTGTGTCTGCAGTGTAAAACACTGTCTGGGATCTGTGACCACATCATCTCGCTGTCCTCTGATTCGCTGGTGTCCCAGTCGGCCCATCTGGAGGTTGTGCACCTGACCAACGTCATGCCCAGTGAGGGCCTGGTGAGTACTCAGACTACACTATAGACACCTTCAATCATACCTCCACAGGAGCTGAACCAGGACTTTGTCTAAGATACACACTCTGTCAGGATAGTTCTGTGACAGAGCAAACAGGCTAACTTTACTTGTTTGCTGTTGCTTCCAAATGTCATACCAAGATATGAAGTGTAAGTCTCATCATTATAACTACAATATTCTCCTTTTTAGTTTAATAAAGTCTACCCTCTCTCCTCTCATTTAGGGAATGTACATCAAATCTACATACGACGGCCTTCATGTCATCACTGGGACCACTGAGAACGTAAGTCTACTTCCTCGATCCTGTGTCCCTGTAGTAAACCCGCCTCTCTGGTTGGGGCTCTGGGATAACTGTTCAATTAGTGCAGCAAATAGTGAACCCCCTAATTAGCATCTGGGTGTTTAATTGGGGTTGGCAACAGAGGAGGGATGACAGAGGCTTACAGATGGCAGCATGGCACAGGGAACCACAGCTCTTCTAATCAGCAACACTTTCAAAGCAGGACTGGGATGTCGTGGATTCTCTGGAGGAGATGGAGAGGGAATGGGTGCTGTGACTGTGACAGTTCATTAATCAGCGTTTTTTTGTTATTTCCGAGCCCCTACAGAAGGAAAATAGTTACTATTGGTGATATTATACAAAGTGTGAAGTTGTAGTACCATGGTATGAAGGGAGTTATAGAGGCTGGTGATGTTTGATTCACTGCCAAGTGATGTGACTCCTTTCAATTGCTGCTAAATGGAGGCTGAGATCATCACTCTTTAGACTTACTGGACATTTTGGGGGAAAACATAATTTATCTGTCTTATAAAGCCGTGCCAAGGTAGCCTGTCCTTGCAGATCTGGGCCCGTATCCACAAAGCATCTCAGAGTAAAAAATTGGTCGTAAGTGCTGAGAATAGAGACATTTCACTTCTAAAAATAAAAGCAATGTATGAAGCCTCTTTAGTCATAAGAGCCCACCTAGTTGACAGATATTTAGGAGACCTCATGAGCTCTCCGAACCAGTTAAGAGTTACCAGCAGGTGTCTTGTAAATAGAAAAATACAGCGAGTCAGTGGTTCCTGCACCACATACAATCGCTTTAAAGTTGTTAAATAATCTCTACATGCAACAATACATGCAACACTATCTCTTGCGCTTTTGACAATGATTTCACATGGGGCCTATTTCACAATATACCTACAGATGTAGGATCTTAATTTGATCACTCTTTTGTTTCTGAGAATTTTACTACATAGCAAACTTGTAGGGTATTCAAGGTTTAAAAAGGATTCAAAAGTTTGCTATTTCCACTTTAAAATGACAGACTTGATTTGCCCTAAGGAAAAATTTGTCAACGCTTACCAAAAAATGCCATTCATTATAATCCACATAATTATTTTCCTTCTGTAGTAAACGGTCTCAAATTAAGATCCAATAAATAAACATGTTTTTCTTTCGATTATTTAATTACCTACATTATGTTATTTCAAGTTCTCTCTTTGGAGCGCAACATCACATCGTTAAAAACGATGCCTAAATTGGGCTTGCCTATAAGTTCGACAATTGAAAGCATCTAGCTGGCTTATGTTACCTTTGATTGTGTTGATGAAAATGATAGACCTTTCAGTTGTTAAACAGGAGTGACGAGTGTGTTGATATAACGGTAATATTGTCAAAATTCCGCTATTAACAACCATCAGAATTGGGTTAAAAAAAAAGTTATGCATGCCAACATATTATGCAATCATTAAGAGTAGGCAAAGTGATTGTCTCAGGTGAAAATTATATCAAACATTTTACCATTGCAACATTTGATGGACAGTCACAGTCACCGTGGTTGTCTGAAGCGCGCTACAGAGTTCACAGCTGGCGATGCCTCATCACGATTGGTTATTCCCCATCATTTGCAACAATATCAATGAGCGTCATCACTATCTTTCCTTTGCAGTACCTCAAACTGTCGTGATTACCAACTGAGATAAACTTTCATGAGTTGATTTTACTCCTGGCTCAGAGTTGGTCTGGGCAGTGTCTTAACATCATCCTAAACCCTATTTTGAGCTGGGAGTTTTTTTGTGATGCTTTGTGGATACAGGCCCTGATTGTACTTTAGCCAACTCCTTTGTTCTGTTCATTATCATGGCATACATGTTGTCCCAGGCATGACAATGAAGTCAGAGGAGTTGGCCAAAGCGCTATATAACCAATACCGTCAAACCATAGACAAAGGTCTCTAATAACCATGATATTTTTGTTTAATTGCTATGATGGTGCAGTCGATGTGTCCTAACCTCTACTTATTCTACTTGAATACTGATAATTGACCCCCACCTCTGTCTGTCTCTGTTTGTCACTGTCTCTGCAGTCTCCAGCTGACCAGTGCAAGAAGATCCATGCGGGAGACGAGGTTATTCAGGTCAACCACCAGACAGTGGTGAGTCCAGATTGAGTGTTCCACTGTAAAGCACTGAGTACAGCTCTGAGTACTGCACTGTTATTTAGTCCTACAGGATCTCACTCAGGGTCTGGGGGAAAGACACTCTGTTCAGTCTGGGTCAGGAAAGGTCAGCCATCATGAATGAGAAACGGGTACTTTCCTAGACTCTGCACTCTTCCAGCCCAGCCTGTCTGGGCACTAAACGCTTTGTCTTTGGAAGCCAAGAACAAGGTGCTTATTTAGTGCTTCCTAGTACCTAATTAGTCCTCAATTAATCATTTAGTATCTGGTAGTTTA